AGTTTGTCCAACAGAGCGCTGTCTGATCTCAGCACTGTCTGCAGCGCATGCAGCAGAGTACGTACAGCTGGGGAGACGGCGGTGCAGAGTCAAGCAGTGCCTTGTGGAACTAAGTTGCTATATGTTCAGAAACAATGACCCCCATCTTTCTCCTTTTTTAATATAACTCTGAATACTGGCAATTTGTTGATTTCTTTACTCCCTATATGTGGATTCATTCCATGGGCATGATACGAAATGTGTCAGAAAAGTTCCAGGACTGGTGTCACAAAAGATATATTTCAAATCCAAACTACAAACTCCAACTTTTCCCCTTCCAAGTGATCCCCTGGAGTCTAACACACTTTCCCAGCCTTCTCTGCCTCCATGCACTCCTGGAAGGATTCTTCTGGGATCCTCTGCAGCTCCGTCGTCACAGCCATCTTGATGTCGTCCACATCTTCAAAACGGGTCCCCTTGATGACCCCCTTGAGCTTGGGGAAGAGGAAATAATCCCACAGAGCCAGGTGGGGTGAGTAGGGAGGTTGCTCCAGTACGGCGATGTTCTTCTCAGCCAGAAACTGTTGGATGCTCAGGGCGTTGTGAGCAGGCCCGTTGTCATGGTGAAGCAGCCACGACTTGTCCTGCCACAACTCTGGCCTCTTCTGAACGGAGCAACAGGATCTCTTTGTAGACGTGCTGGTTGATCGTCTGAAGGGAAAAACTGGTAGTTTGAAGTTTGGGTTTGAAAAATATCTTTTGTGACGCCAGTCCTGGAACTTTTCTGACACACTTCATAGACATCTAATGGAAATTCATCCAACTGTTGACATTAATGATCCGTCACAACATTAAAACTGCTGAAAGATAAAGTGATCATCTTGTTTCAATGCAACATTCTGCTAGGACACCATGCTTCCTGGCATGGTACGACAGGGGCCTGCTTAAAACTGAATGAGAAATGAGGTTTTAATTTTGTGGCTGATCTGTCTAAAACAAAGTCATCCCTAGATCTAATCTGCCAACACTGATTAAAAACTCAAGTTTCCAAAATCAATGACAACAAGAACCAGAGCATGACAGTTTGTTAAAAACTACCTGATGTGTTCTTCTGTCTGCAACAGAGCCTCCACGGTCAGAATCATCTGTGCAGCAAGTCTGAATAAGTGACAAGTGACTCATTATCGAGGACTGGTCCATTGATGTCACTCACGAGGCTACAGTCTCTTAATTTACAGCTTCACTCTGACTGTGGCAGTAATTGAAAAACTGAGATATTATCCACAATCACCTCCGTAATTAAAGTCAAATATTCCCATCTACTTGTTTTAATGATTCACACTTACGTTCAAACTGTTCAGACTGAGAATGGGATCATGAGATTTTTTTTTTTTTTCTTAATTAGAAAATGAACTCGGTGATGTCTTGGCACTGTGTGTGAATTTTGGATTCAAATCACTGCATTGCAGAAGGTGAAAAGTGCATTTTTTTTATTTTATTTTATTTTTTTTTTTTTACAGCTGAATCATATTCTGGAAAGCTAAGACTCTTCCAATGTTCCTCAAGCGAGTTCCCAGTGAGATCCAACTGTGCTGGGAAAAACAGAGGGCACGATTCAAGGCAAATAAGCAACAAGTAATCCGCCTTTGATGCTGTATTGGCTGGTTTTACAGACGTGGATTAGATGAGCTTGATCCAACACTCAAGTAGGCTTTCGGCTGAAAAAGATTTTAAGTCAAAGCACGTCTGTGAAACTGGCCCCTTAAGTGTTTGAAGAAATATCCTCAAACATCATTTGTTTCCATGTTCGCCGTGTAGAGCAGGAGCACTAGGAACCGTGCAGGGGGGGCAACAGCCAATCAGGCGAGAAGCACAAACTGATGAGTAGGCTGAGGGCCAGCGGGGGTGGAGACCCAGGACCACGGTGGTCTGCGTGCTCTCTGCATGTGGCCCTGGTAGGACAATTCAGACTGGACTATGTTTTATTCTCATTTTATCGTCTTATTGTTTTTCTACTGAAAGGACACAAGCACTCTGAGGTATCACTTTGTGGGTCTGAAGAGATGGGTGACTATTCATCTTTATTACTATTATGTATTTTTGCATTATTTTAGTATTAAAGGATTCTAATTGATCACAGTGTTTTTATTGGTATTATTTTGTTGATTTTATATAGTTCCGGGTTTAAATCCTGTATCTTTAGGTTTCTAGCGTCTACAGGTGGTGACGGCCTCCAGCCACAGTTGTGGTTCACGATGGATTGTGATATCGATTTTATTAGTATGGTGTGTTTTGATTTACGAGGTGTGTCAGAAAACTTTCAGGACTGGTGACACAGAAGATATATTTCAAATCCAAACTACAAACTTCAAGTTTTCCCCTTCCAAGTAGTCCCCCTGGAGTCTAACTCACTTTTCCCAGCCTTCTCTGCCACGCCGCCATGCACTCCTAGATCCAGGATCCTCCACAGCTCCGTCGTCACAGCCACCTTGATGTCGTCCACGTCTTCAGAACGGGTCCCCTTGATGACCCCCTTGAGCTTGGGGAAGAGGAGCCAGGTGGGGTGAGTAGGGAGGTTGCTCCAGCACGGCCATGTTCTTCTCAGCCAGGAACTGTCGGATGCTCAGGGCGTTGTGAGCAGGCACGTTGTCATGGTGAAGCAGCCACGACTTGTCCTGCCACAACTCTCGCCTCTTCTGAACAAAGCAAACGCCGCAGGATCTCTTTGTAGACGTGCTGGTTGATCGTCTGAAGGGAAAACCTGGTAGTTTGTAGTTTGGGTTTTAAATATATCTTTTGTGACACCAATCCTGGAACTTTTCTGACACACCTCGTACGTTATATTCCTCACATGTAGAATACTCCCAGTGATCCATCAGTGGGTCCTCTCTTCTTTCATCCTCTTTGCAGAACTTCAAAAGATGTTTTAAAAGTTCTCTGTGCAACCATTCACACAGCTGCATCGACCACACCTCCTCCCTCCATTCACTTGTCACTTATAACCTGAAAAGTTAACCAACAGCAAAGTGATTCAGCCACAACCATTAGCGCGTGGTAACAGTATAAAATACACTGAACGGCTTAACCGAGTTGTTGTAACGTTAGCTTCACTTCACCTTACGCATGCAGATGCTCGCCGTTTGTGGAAACAGACAAACATGGAACGGAGCAGACAAGAGACAAAACAGCAGTAAAACCTGCCAGACTGAGCGGAAAGGAAACAAGTGCACATAAATTAGGTATATGACATCAAGAAAATACTATTTTTGCTTTTGATTTTTAGCGAACCACCTTTCCAGTGTTGTGTGTATGGTCACACTTAGTTGATGAGCGTAAAGGGCGGTCAGAAGGAGTGAGACTTTATTCTCTGCTAGGGACACGATTACTGCACCTTATCTTTACATAGCAGATAATTGTTTGTGGCTATTTTAAAGCTGTATTTATATATTCCAGAAAATCATGTACATTGCACCTTTAATAGTCACTCATGGATTGCTGGTGCCTCTTCTTTCAAGCTCCTGTGCTTAATTCGACTGTCACAACTGTGCTCAAATGCTACCGTGGTACTTGTATTTCGCACCAACGTGTGTTTTTGTAGCACCATAAAACCGTCGCATTTAACTCTTACACTTATTTGTTGCCGTCTCATCTTGATTTTCAGCACATTAAAACCCATTATGTCTTCACAGTTGCGTTTCTGATTGAGTAGTGCTGAAAGCCGACAAGGTTAATTGCTCTCTAGGTTTTTTTTTTTAATGCTTCCTGGAAAAAAAACTGAATTCTACGAAATTGAGTTCTGCCAAATGGAAATGACACACGATCCAACAAATACGACTGCAAAATTGCTCAGACTTAACTGCTGAACTGGAGGATAGTTGGTTATGGCTATTACTAATTTACCGACTTTTTTTTTTCCACTTAACGATCCACCTGATCAGTTGACAGGCATAAGAAATGCCATTCTATCTCTGTATCTAGGCCTCACATGTTTTCTGCACCGTCTGGAGTCCCTCCTGAAAGTGAAAGTGTGTCATCTAGTGTATGCAGCCAACAGCCACTGCTCCTGAGCTGTTCTGGGTATTGGGGGATTACATAAAGCAAACCGACACGCAGCGTGGAAATGGCTTCCTATCAGTGTGTGTTGCGTGCGTTGCTCCTCCTATGGTTCCTCTCGCTCCCTGACAACTGAAGCCTGAGCATCTCCAAAGACTTGCACCGTGGGGAGCCTTGTTTTGCATTATCATTAAAGACACATATGGGGTGTGAGAGACTGCGGCGCTCGCATCTGTGCCACACCGGATCAAAAGCTAGGCCTACATTGTGCGAACACACAGCGTTTCTGTGGATGCATTAGCGAGAATTTCGGGCTATTTTGTATCGCACATTTCGCAGGGATGCACCCAAAAGATTAGGATGAGACAAGCAGCATCACAGCCTTCTTCGCTGCTTCTCATTTTATTCCTAGGAAGCAGCCGAGTGGCAGCATTTGACAGAATGTGAAGATTTTTTTTGGGGGGGGGGGATGCAAGTTTTCCATCAGAGCATGTCATCCTGTGAGAGAGGAACCAGCTCGTCTCATGCGGCGTCTTCAATAATATTACTTGGAATGAGCTGTACTTGAGCTTAAAAGATGCAGCCTCATATAAGAACAAGTGTTAGTATGTGTAGTTTTATATTAAACTAGAAAAAATCTTTATCCTCACGCCTACTTCTCTCTCACTCTCGATGCAAAGACATATCCTGCACATCCTGTTTCTTATGGAACAAACAGTAAAAGCATCATCGGTGAGAAACTGAGAACAGGGGATGTGTCGACACTAGAGGCAGCAGAGACACTTGCCGATGTTTTACCATCTCACTCAGCAGCCGGTGATCAGTCCAATCAGATATGGTTGGAAAACTTATTACCCCCCCACCTCCCCCCCATATCGCCCCTTTTCTTCTCTCATTATCCTCCACGCATCTTGATTCACGTCTCCGGCAGTTAAATGTGGATGACGGCCTGTTTTAATCACCGTGGATGAAGATGAGTCACACTTTAATTGATAAGCAAAGGCGATCAGCACACAGATGAAAAATATTTTCAGTTTTTTTTTTTTTAAATAATGATAGACAATATTACAAACACAAGACATACAGTAAACATGTGACATTACTTACAAATATAGAAAAAAAAATTATGTTAATTACAGCTTTCACTTTCCTAATTACAACAAAAAGGCCACTGGAGTTAGTGACAGCATTACCACACCAGACACGGTGTTGAATTCCAGCATTATTGTTTGTTTACCTCTTAAATAATCATAGCGTCTCCACTGGGAATTGTTTACCATGACAAACAGAAGACATCAACGAGCTTTTTCAAAAACATCGCTTCATGGTCCATTAGGGTTGGTTGACAATACGATTCACCGCTTTGCAAGATCAACTGCTTCGACAGATCCCTGGAAAATCTGTGTTTACGACAGGTTTTGGATGGAATGGAAACTCTGCATAGCCCGCCGCAGAGATAAGATCCCAAACCGGCAAATATCTATTTCATTCCTGCAACGTGCACCATATCAAATTAGCATAGAAAATAACGCCACAGTAAAAATGCTTTACTATGTAAGACATGGCTGGAATAACAGATGGCCGCGGGGAACAATAAATAACCCCTTTTAATAACAGGATAGAATATTTATACCGCACTCAGGCTCAAGACATAAACTGGCGGAAATGGAAAAGCTGTCACTTCTTAAGTGTTCGATACATAAAGCATGAGCACGCTATTAAAAGGGCAATTTCACCTGATCCTGGTGAATGTGGCGTGTCATGGATGATGCACGCGGAAGGCTTCGTGGGAAGCTAAGGGGACCGTGAACTCCGTGTAAACTGTCTCTACCTGTTACTGTTCTGAGGCATACAGGGCTCTGATATGAAGACCACCCAACACAAACACAAGCTGACCATAATCTTCCTATTGGTCCTTCAGTCCATTTCACTTCTCCCCTTGTTCCCATAATCCTAACGAAAAGCCTCCAGGAACTACTAGAAACTTCAACCCAGGAATTATGTCTATATTCCAAAATGTCTGGAATGTATTTTCTGCTTTTTCTATCTCCCACTTATCCTTTTCTGAGCATACATTCAGAATCAATTGCAAAAAAAATCTATTTCAGCACGATCGTCCCCTCAAATCCATTCCAAACAGAACTCCTTTGAGACCGCCGGGCCAACAGCCTGTCAAGGTTAATGGTAAGGAAGAGGTCACAAATTGCTTCATTCAGTCTCCTCCATTATCTGCTCCTGCTGTCAAAAACTGTACTCTTGACGACTTCCGTTCATGAATCAAACCTCAAGCGCATGAGTATACAAGTGCTCATCGGAGGAGGATTTGGCTGGCGCGGGTCCAAAAGATAAGTCCTCCACCGCACAACTCTGACACAGAAATGGAAAAAAAAGGGGGGGTGATAAAAGAATTGGGAAAGGACCAGAAAAATCAATCAGGAAGCCATCTGGCATCCCAGCACTCTGGAGACACCAACAACTGTCTGCTCCTCCGCTGTGTTTCCCCTCAGTCCCGTTGCGTAGCCTGAGGGACCGCCACACAAGTGACCGCGGCTCGAGCTCGGATCTATAGTTGTCTGTTTGTAACGGATGAGCACAGAGGCAGCGCGCACGAAGCGGTGCAACCCACCAGACTAAGATACATACTCCCAGGGCGACGCCTCCATGCCTGTGCTTACGTATGCAGACACTTTGTCACCACCCTAACAACTGCAATCGTCCTGTCTCACGGTGCGAGTACATACATTCAGAGCATTCTTCCCATTCCCAGAATTACATTATAATATATACTTTTTAAAAATATATATATTAGGCATTTTCTATGGGTTCCACGTGGGCAATTATAACAAGAAAGTAGATCCTATTTTTACGATTTCAGTGTGATATGTGTGTAGAGAATCTTTAAAATAAGTTCAATCTAGAAAATACATCATTTTAAAACAAACCCACGTGAAACAAATCCATGAAATATGGCTGATTGAGTCTTCTCAAGCTGCATACTACTTCAAGAGCACGAAGTAGACTTACATAATATTGGGGAAAAAAGTACAAAACTGACTACAAAAGCTGGCAAAATAACCATTTCACCTCAGTTAAATTTCAAAACTATTGTATTCAAAGCAGAACAGAGCAAGACGGGAGTTTCTCCTGTAATCAGTAGTTAGGTGATTAAGCTGAAGAGGTCCTAAGTACTTACATAATGCCTGTCATCTGGAGCTTTTTTTTTTTTTCTTCCTTAGCCACCGCTATGTAGGAGTAGAAAGCACTCACAATGTCCTGAAAAGGTTCCTAATAAAATACCTGAAGGTTCGTCCCACTTTCTCACACAAACAGAGAACACGATGTAAGAGGAGAATGCCCAGAGAGGAGCGTTGGCCCCCTCTACAGGAGAAGACGCAAACATCATATAACACCTCATGACGTGTCTCTGAAAAAAGAAAAGAAAAAAAAATCACTGTAATGCCAGCCACTAGCTCATAAGAGGCTCCCGAGTTTGTTGACAGATTTTTGAAGCAGTTGTTGGATGCACATGTTTCTGTGTGCCTCTGTCCATGTTTTCGTAAAGCAAAGGAGCTCAATTGATCTCCCTCTCAAAGACCGCAGCAGCAGTGGTGTGAAAAAATAAATGATGCCAGCATGTGTAGTTGTGCATTTTATCGCTAATTCTCAAACATCTCCTTGATTAGAAAAATAACGCATATTCCAGAGAGCCCCCGGTGTCCCAGAAACGTATAGCGTATATGTACAAAGTCCTTCAGAAAGTAAGCACTTATCAGTATAATTTACAATTGGTCCATTTCATCCAGCTGGCACAAAAAAATGTGCAAAGGCTTAAAGTTCGGAGGGAAGCACAAAAGCGTCCTCCTTTGGGCTCCTTTTAGAGCAAGGCAAACATATCCAAAACCATTCTGCAATTAAATCTGCTTTCTCATCTCACTTTTCAGGATGTGAGCAGATTTAATTGCAAAATGGATGAAAAAAATATAGAATCCCTTCTATTCTTGGTTCACACTATTTCATTCTCTCCTCAAAGAACCACTTTTGGTGGGAGCTGTTGGAGCAGGGTTGGAGTGAGGGGGCTGGTGTCCCGTTGTCTGTCTTGTCTAGCGCATGAACACACTTCTGGCTCATGACATGGAGAAGTCTCCCTTCCTGAAAACAAACATTTAGGAAACATTCATTACAAAGAAACTAAAACACAACAGTTTTGTCAAATGGTCAGCAAGTAGTTAAAACAAACCCAAACGATTAGTACTGCATGTGTGAGGAAACAAAACAGCAGCTCCGTGATGTTCACCATTGTTAAACAGCATCACTGTCTTTAGAGCTCCAAAGCTTAATATTGGAACACAGACAGTCCGCCCTGATTGAGTTGCACATTTAGTTACCTTTTCATGCGTGTTTGTTTGCTTCGGTTTCCGTTTTCCCACCTCTGCATCTAGCACCCTTGTTACATGGATTCCATCTTTTTTTTTGGATCCCATTTACATTTAGATGGCGCGGCTGGGCTACTGACATTGGTGCGCTGTGCCTACATTCAACACATGCTAAACACTACTCAGCATTGTGTGGTGAATATCCAGCTTGATGGTACTCTCATTTACAGTTTAGTATCAGCCACAATGGTGCTCAGCACCTCTGGAGTGTCTCTGAAATGTGCTTGGTGTGAATTAGATTTTTGTCCTGGGATTCTCATCATGAAATTCTCTCAGCTTCAAACCAATGTTAACACTTGTGATTTACATCATGTAGTATGAATCAGAAAACAGACAAACTTGCGCCTACAGGGCTCCAGCATGCAACATACATCTGTTAGGTGCGACACTGGTCACACTGGTTTGTGAGACAAGATTGTAGCATGTCCTGATAGTCTACCTGGGAGACGTTTGAGCACGTCCGTACAATTAAAGCTTCAGAAAACCTGAGTGACACGTTCCCCATCTAAAGTCCACACGTCTCTGCACGCACATCTGTCACGCGACACCATCGACAACCCTTCAAGTAAATTACTAACCTGTGTAGACACTCTCATTATGTATCGCAATTATAAGCACAAGAAACTCTTCCTGTGTCGTCCTTTGCAGATGTATGAATGGCAGAGCAGCCCCCCCTTCCCACAGTGTTTCAGCATGAGACAGCAGCAAACCCAAGGAGTCACAAATAATATTTAACACTGTTTAGAATATAGCCAAAGGCTTAGACCATCCTTATGAACAAGAACATGTTCAATGTACAAACGTCTATCTGCACCTTTATTCCAGTTTGCACTCATTCCGAATGGGAACTGACAAAAAATGTTACACTTAAAATGTAGTATTTCACACCAAAAAAGCTTTGGGTGCACCTAAATCATGTGCTGGTGAATCTAAATGGAAAAAGTTAGGCATGCTAGTACAACCAATGGAAGAATTTAGCCCTTAAATAAACAATGTGTAGTACGAGAAAGAAAGAAGAGAGGTTTGAAGGTGACTGGATGATGGTGGTGGAGCTATATATGTTACTATGAAGCGACACCTATGGTTTGCAAAAGGAAAGTAATAAATAATGTCCATCAACAAGAAGTCAGAAAACTCATCAGGAAACTGTTTCGTGGTCCCCGACTCTGATTTCATCTTACACTTCCCTTATTCTCCCAGACGGCGACCGAAAAGCTCATCCTGTACTTTTCCTGCCACCACATTACCTCTTTTCTTGCCACCCTTTGGATTTAAAACATGCAGACACCAAAAACAGAAATATACTTTATGCCTCACCTTGTCGAAGACAAATTTCTGGTCCACTGGTACAGACTTTCCTTGTTTTGAGCACAGCTGGACAGTCAGGTAGGTACTGACGCTATCGCCCGCAATGCATCCAGCAGGTTCCCTTGTGTTATACCGGATCTCCCCATGTGAAGAGTATTCAAAAAACTGTTGGAGAAGATGAAACAGCTGTGTTATCGTGTAAAACCCTTTGTGTAAATTATGTAAAGTCAAATGTCAAAATGAAAGGAAATGAAAGTAATATTAAATTCATTAACTTGCATTATCATTGTCATATTACTTTTTCCATTTTCATTGCCACCATATTTCAGTTAAAGCAGAATGTCATCTTAGTCATCGTCAGGGAATTTGTGCATGCACATGAATGCATAAATGTACATGTATGACTCGGAAATAGATGTGCATCAAGAAGTAAAATGGACAGAAAGATGTCTTGTGTGCTCCCAGACAAGTGCTGAAGGTGTGTGACTCTGGAGCATGCAGAGCATTCTCATAAGGCAGACAGCACAAGCACTGCAGAGCCCATTTTCAACAAAGATGACATCAGTGTGTGTCCACAGAGGGGTTCTGGATAACAATTTCACAGCGCTTCCTGGATTACTGACAACCACAAAGGAAAAGGCATTGGGAAATGCTCCCTCCCTTTGTATCAACAATGCCAGTATATCATTTTGCAACCTGAGATAGGTGTGCAAGTCTATTATTCTCTGGTTTGTAAAAGTACAACCACAAGCCCGTTCTTTCAACTGTGAAATAGGATAATTATGTCCTCACTTTAAGGAAATCTAAGCAGCTATTAATGACCGTGATTACTTTTGTCTACGGTAAATGGAGAACAAGGAGTCATTGAGAACAGGAAGAGATGGGCGGCTCTGGTTTAAGGTTAACATAATATGTAATCAGGGCTCCAGACTGCGACCAAAATGGCCACATTTGCCACATTTTATTTAGTGTACGAGTTCAAATTTCAAGCAGTTGCATTGGTGTAAGTGCATGATGATCATTAAGCTGGTTTAGTGTTGCTGTAACTGGCACAGGCAGCTACTGTGTTAACCACAGTGGTGGAAAGTACTACTTTTATAACTTTGGTGTACTGCGCCATTTACACTTAAAAATGAGGTCTTCTCGTGAAAAACGTGCATGCGCTGTTTGTTCCGCTCATAGAAAAAAAGTGCATGTAAAAAAAATCACTCTGTTTCATCTTAGACAAATCTGACATGAGAACGCCCTAGTTTAACTCTTTTTAAAGTCATTCTTGGTCGCACACTCGTCTGAGCACACCACAGACACCAACAGCAGCTACCGCAGCCTTTAGTGTGGGGCGAACATCAGTAAATTGTAGAGTATATCGACAAGAAAATGTTCAGCAAGTCATGTTTTGCCTGTGACTAGGTGGAAGATGCGACCAAATCAGAGAGTTGCTCGCACAGGGGCTACCAGTGAAAAAGTTAGTCTGGAGTCCTGGTAATGGTGGTGAGAATCAAGGAGGGGAGGGTGTAAGGGGACGGCAAGTAAATACATGTGATCAGGACAACAAGAAATCCCATTAGACTTAATTTAAAACATCAATGCAGCCTAAAAAAAAAACATGCTCCATGCAAAGTGCGCAAACACACACCACTGTGGTCATGGAAACGCTCTGACTAGCTTTAACTAGGACTAAGATTGATCACCTCCACTGGTGCGTAACGGTGGTCTTATGTTCAGCAGGGTCCTGTCTTTATGGTGGCTGCACCAGGTGTTGCCATTTGTCTTTGTGTGCTCATATAAAGCCCATTTTCAGCCTATACCTTGAGAAAATTTGACTCGACACAAACAGTGGGTGGTGGTATAGTTCTTATGTTAAATTTGGAAAACTGAAAACTAATAAAACAATGTATTGAAGTCGAAGAAGTTTGAATGTTCTCCATGCACCTGCATTGGTTTTATCCTCGTGGCCCCCTAAATTTCGAAGAGTGAAGACCAAACCAACATCTAAACAAACCTCTCTACCTTTACATGCCAATCAGCTATCTACCGCTAATGTTCACCGTTTTCCACAATGCATGTTTATTTGGTCACTTTTTCAACAAGCTAAGGAGTGGGTGCTTTTTCACATGATGTCGAGAAATATTTCATGGCATGTGGCCTGAAAGACTGATGACCCATACCTGGTTCTGGCCCATGCCGTGACACGGGTAGAGGATGACCCTTTGGCCCACCATCTTGTGTTCATCTGCAGGGTTGTAGTCGAAACAGTAGTTGGTCTTGCCCCGGTTCTTTAGCTAGCAAAGGACAGTCACATCAGTGAATCTTTTTTTAAAAAGTGAATCTTATTGCAGGGAAAGAGCACACTTTTGCATTCCAATCTTTTTAAGAAGTGTCGTGTGTACACTGCTTAATCCCATTGTTGCTTACTGGTTAGTCGATTATTTAAACCATCAGAAACTTAGACGTGTGCTCACCATTCCAAACATGCCTGGTCGATCCTGTGGGATGTGAATATCAGGGTAAATGTTGTCTAGATACCACCTGAAGTTTTTACAGCCCAGCTTCTCTCTAAGCATCCTCCGCTCTGTCACGTCTCCAAATGCCTCCTAGAAACAAAGACCACAAATGAAAGTTCCATTTCATCACTGTCATTTCACTTTTCTGTCTTAACACCCTGAGAATAAAAACAACATAAAGAAGAACAGAGATGCTTTCATATGAATATTACATCATGAAGTGTGAATCGCTGCCATTTTGGCTCTCTTATAGTCAAATTAAGACCTTATGTGCGAACACTCCCGTGTAATCAACATCAGACAGTTCATACGTCAAAGAATATCTCTTCATAGCACGGCACTGTGCTGAGACAATACACAACAGCACCATCTACACAATTAGAATTCGTGCCAAATAGTAACACCCTCTCAAAGAAACCTTTCCACAAAAATCTAACAATACTAGTCAAACAAGTGGATCGGCTTCTATTTGAAGTATCAGCTTGTGCAAACAGTGTGTGCTTACCTTTATTCATACATAGTTACACACACACACACACTTAATAGATTAACCGAGACAAGTTCATTACAGTATGTACAAGAACACTCAACTTTTATGTGCCAGTAAGCATACGCTCACCACACCTTCCCTGCTGTAAGAAGAATACTGTAGTACTGCAGGATGATGGATGACAGTGGCTTGCCCAAACACAGCCCTAATTGGCTCTTCATCAATTTATTTGGCCATAAGAGTGATTCCCAAAGGAGGCAGTCCTCTGTCAATAAGTCCAGCGTGGACTATCAGATGACAGTGTGGGCAAGTGCAGCATGTCAGGCCAATAAGACATAAAGCAAGGACCAGCAGAGGTGCCAATGACAAGCAAAGATAACGATGACTAGCAGCCCAGGGGCCATCCAGCATATGGATCAGAAAGTGGTCACTAAAAAGAAAAAAAACCTGAGGGAGCAACTAGAAGCTAATTTGATGCGCAGAAGAGCACAGAGAGGTGCCAATTAGTTAAACAGCAGTGGACAAGAACCATCAGAGGCATGTTTTATCAGAGCTTCCCTTTTATTTGCATCATCCCTGAAAATGATGGCATTGAGGTCACTGCTTTATAACTAATTAACCAAGAGTTGAGTAAATGTAACTCATGTAGACTGACAGGTACCTCATCAACTTGACAGCATCAGTGACCTGTCATCCTGCAAAACCCAATACATTGTGTTTTTTTGCTCTGGGGGCAGGATGAATGAGTTGTAGGCAGGGAAAGTATGCATTAAAAATTAACCATAAATGTATTGGAGCAAGTTATCTAGCTCATAAGATTGGAACCAGGTCAAAGTCTAACTTAGTCACACCTTCCCTGAAGTTCTCATTTACACAGATGCATTGCAGAATTTATCTCAGGTGAATGTCTGAAAGCTCCCCAGGAAAATACAAGAAGAAAAAAAAAAGTGCTTTACATCCTCATCACTAAAGCAAATGTGTTTGGACTAAAGGAAGTGCTCTTAAATGTTTTAGCTGATGGAATCTTCTCTCTTAGCCTGGAAACATCTTGGCAAACACACCCAGAACCCAGGGCTCCATCCGCAGCACAGTTTCAGATTTATTGACCTTTCTGACTAGTCTCTGCCTACTCACCTGCAAACGATCCAAAGCACTGTCGCTCACTGCACTGGCTCCCAGTTAGATTTAGAAATGATTTGAAGATTTTATTGTTTGATTTTGAATGTGTTAACTGGTTAGTGCCTCCCTACCACACTGATCTTTTGACTTTACACACTCCCAGAAGGTCACTGAGGTCTGCTGACCAGAGGCTACTGGTTAACTTGAGATCAGGCCTTTGCAGTAGCTGCTCCTGAGTGACTTTTGATATTTTACTTGTGCTGTTTTGCCCATGTTGTGTTACCAGTACTGTTTCATACTGCTGTTTTTTAGTCGTAGAGCTTTTTTGGTCAATACTTGTTGTTTTTCAATGTGCTTTTAAATAAACTGACTTGACTCCTGTTTAAAGTCACAGCAGAGATTTATAATTTCTTCATATGATTCAACAAAATCTGCATCTGGGCATCAGAAACAATACAAATCACAGAAAGACACTAACAGAAACAGCTAAATTAGCAGAACAAATAGTGAGATACCCCTGTTAGATGCTGAAAATTAGAACATAAAATTAAACCCAATATATTTTTAAGAATCTTGTATGCCTAAATACTCATCTACCTGTACGTCAAAGCACAAGCAGATCAGCTGTGCTTGCTTAGAGGCTTTAGTGTTATTACCTTTTGGCAAATCTACCTCCTCTTAGGGAGATGAGCGCCACCTGATCTGTGTTTAGAGAGCTTCTCCTCTTAACTACACTGTCACACACTGGCCAACGCATGCACACGCACAAAAGCAGGGCACCCCACGGGTTAGCGTGGCTCTCATCCTTTCAAGGACAGGTGGGTGACACCCGCTGGCACAAAGTGACACGGAAAGGTGGTAATCACACACCGGAATGCCCTGACACCCCTGTCACCTTGGGTGTCTGCCACTCATGTATCCCAAGTGTCACTTAATCAGGGGAGCTTTTACAGCACAGCGGGGGAGCAGCGAGTGCGTTTGTGTAGTTTCTGACAGGAAAGAGTGCATGGAAGTTTTTTTTTTTTTGCATGTGTGTGAAGTGAGACTGAGAGTGTGTTCATTGGTGAAATCAAGGGACTTATCAATCAGACGGTGTTGTGGTGAGTGCAGCTGCAACAAATATGCTGCGTTCACAATACTCCATAGAGAAAACAAGTCATTCAGTCATTAAATAAGATAAAATGCCTGCTTGAAAAACAGCTCTGGTTGTGTTAGATACCACTAAAGCACACGTACACGCACACTCGCACCATCTGTGCAGACTCACCAGTCGTGCGTGGGGGTTTCGATGGTAGTACATCTCCTTGTATTCATCCATCCAGACCTCAGCTGCTCTCACGCTGTTTGCCAACGCTTTGCTTCGTGAGTAAGGGGCCTTTTTTGGGAACACATGACCCACATGGGAGCATGGGTGGATCTCCAGGCTGCCTCCACATTGCCAAATCTAAGAGACATCAACAACACCACCACCACCACCACCACCACCACGAGGATTTGGTTAGCCTCTAAGCCATGATTCAATCAGACAACACAAAGCACAGCCTTGTTGTGGAGAAGCTTGGAAACAGAAAAGCTGTTTTGTTATTAGGGAGACATATTTTTGGGTCCTCCCCTCTGGGAAATTGTGGTTATTTTAGAAAAGGGATGTTCAAATTCTTCACAGCAATTAAAGTATTAAACTTGTTGGCCTGTTTTCACTGGTTGTTTAGTTAGAATTCTTTCATTGTGGTTTTCACAGAAAATGAGGAGTCGTCACGTGGCTCTTGGCAAATGCAAGCCAGGCCTGAATGTCTTGTGAACTGTGGCTTGGTGCTAAAAGGAGTGCATTTTTATGGCAATATGGACACAGTGTGTGCATTGTGCCTATTTTCCATAAAGCTAGGGGCCTGCAGAATACATGCACTGTATATGTACATGCAGACACACAAAGAAGCCTGAAATCCATTTCACATACTTCATCTTTTTCCTTTCTGCAACTGCACTTACAAAGTATGTATTGTCAGATGCAGTGAGCACGCAGTTGGGACACACTACTTCAACATAATAGTGCGCCTTAAGCTTTGACTATCTATCTATTGCAGTGTTGTAGTAAATCATCTGTCTAAGCATTCTCGGCTGTGACACAAGCAAGACATCGTGACATATGTGATGTATCTTCCACCGTACAGAAGATTAAAGGTCAGCACGGTCAGAAAATGCTAGCTTGTATACTGTAAAATGGTATCATAATCCATTTGATATACTATAAACAGGTACAAACTAAAACTTCGTCTGGCAAACGATCTGGTGTTTCTTACCCTAAAAGAGAATTCTAGGTTCTCTCCTCCCCACACCTCCATCCCTGTGTCATATGTCCCAAGGTAATGGAAGTAATTCCTGCCCACAGAAAACAGACCCCCTGCCATCGTAGGAGACCTGAAGACAAAAACATGACAACAATTAACCTGCATTTCATTCGCAGATGAGACAGATAGAATTATCTGGAGACAAAGAAACTAAGAATGTCAGCTTGGTGTTTAGCACCAACTGGGAGTAGCAGTAAGAATACTGTAATAATGTACTGACTGTCCTGAAACATCACAAAATATATATATATAAGGGATTTGGTTCTGTTCTCTGTTGTTGAAGAGTCCTACAACCACACCTGATCACGTCGGTGGGCGAGCTACGGCGTTTCTGCTCGTACTCTGGGACAGTATGCCAGGTGAAGACCAACCGCCAATCAAACCCTCCAATTTGAGGTTCTGCAGAGTTGCCTAAATACTGGAAGGTGTTCCAGTCAATCACATCGATGACAGGACACACTACAGCTGTCGGCTCCTCTTTGATCCTTGTGGAGAAAGGAGAGAGAGAGAGAGAGAGAGAGAGAGGCCGTTGACAGAGGGGAAGTGGTGTTACAGAGCAAGCAATTTGTTCATCTCAAATGTCTGTGTAAACTTTCGGTGTTGCCTTTGCTCGATAGACAGTCTAGAGCTGAGCTACCTGGGTGTGAGTCAGCCACAAAACAGAGCTCCTGCAGCTTCACTTTGTGACACTTGGACTAAAAGACCGTCTTTCTAAAGGCCACACTGTGACAAAATACTCAAGGGGAAGAGTCCTTTCTTTTCCGGATGACTGCTTTCTCACCTTTGAAGCAGGGGCTCTAACCAGCCCTCATGACACTCGCAGTGGCAATCCAGGAAGGTCAGGACGTCACCTGTGGTAATGGACGCCCCTAGCAACCGGGCCCGCACCAGCCCCTCCCTCTTTGTGGCGCGGATCAGACGCACCTTCTTCAAATCTGCGATGTACCTCTCCAGCGGCTCCTTCAGATGAGCTTCAGGAAATTAAAGAGAAAAGCAGATAAAGCATCTAAAAAATGTGCTATTTCCTATGATTTTATGAAGGCCGTGACTGTATTGAGCGCAGAAATGTTTCTCAAAATCGCTTGAAACGCTGAATGAATAAATGGAACAAGGACAACAAGCATAGCAGAACTAATAAAATCTGCTATGAGCTTTAAATAAGCGAGTCAAGGTAATAAAGAAAGACGTGGATAAAGAGTGTTTGATACAGAATGGTTGAATTCACCATGCACTGGTCATTTATCTCTGAAGCAGGCAGTCAAGACACGACCACCTGCTTTATCTTTGATCTTTGGATGGTTCCAATAATGATTTTTGGGATTGAATTACAACATATTTTTACGCTACATATCTATTATGCATCGATTTTTTTTCTATTTATGACTGGGAGATGTTTTCAGCCTCCATCCCTCCTGCTTCTCCAGTGCACTAATTGAAAACAAGGCGAGATAGTGACATCATTCATTGGTTAGCATGTTCAACACTCTGTATGCGTAATTGACTTCAGGGCAAAGGGAGAGGCAGGCATTGCTTCATTTAGAGGCTTAGAATCCAAAATGTTGTGGAACCGCTCCCTTAGAAAATCTACGTCCCTGTAGTCTGGGTACAGAACAGACAGACACTGAATGGTTTGAACTAAAACACATTGTTGTCCCTGAGAACAAGCACAGCTTTTGTTAATTTGTAAATAGGTCAGACAGTGCTGCGTTCTTGCTTTTTCTTGTTAGAAATATGACGACCAAAAATACATCCAAGCACACAGCCTTCCAATACACCAGGCAAAGAATTAATTACCGTCAGAAATAATCCTTAGAATATTTAAATATTCATATGGAAGATAAAACAATGCCCAGGCATGTAACATTGATATCTGTGGGACTAGCTTGATGCCTACTGTATCTGATTTCCCTGCAGCTCTGTTTGACTTTCCAAATTGCCATCATGTCAGTCTACCTTCCTCCCTTCTACCCATCTCACAAACAAGTGACTGCCACTTACTCGTGTGATTCCATGTGTTAACCTTTATCAACCTTTCTGTCCATTATGACTGCCAGCGACCCTGCCCACAGCCCTTTTGCCTATCAGTCCACCTGTCTGCAACATGCGGGCTCTCTTTACGAGCAGCAGAGGAGGTTGCAGTTTCCCAGGTTTTGCAGTTGTAGAACTGGATTTTTGGGACTCTTTGTCTTTCATGATACCTACTGAACTGGATAACTAAGAGAGTGGCATTCAGCCTATCAAAAGAAAGGAATTCATTTCTGGCAGCATACTGTAAATACCGATTGTTAATCATAGTTTGTTTGTTTAATACTGAAAACAGTTTTAGTTTGATAACAGAGTTACTGACAGTTTGTCAGAGACAGGGTGTGTCATGCTTTTTGCCATCCTTTCGAAAAAACCTGTGAGATTTTGTGACAACAAAGGTCATAGCATATGAGTTTACCTGATAATTACTAAAGTATGCAAATTACACAACCTGCTCAACGCACAGCTCTGAGCAACCAAGTTAACTGCACATCAGAAAGTCTTCTTTTCTGTAGAGTAAATCTTTAATGCTAATACTTGTTAGTTAGTGAGTCGTATTTGAGTGGGGGAGAGGAGGTGGGGGGGGGACTCCCAATATTTGGACAGATGGTACAATTTGGGTGGAATGTTGGCACACTTTAGTAATCATCCAATTCAGTAGGTGCAGTTATCCTGAACAAATAAAGGCCCTACAACTGCAGCCTCCTGTACTGCAGAAACAAAACCTGGCTCTTCACTGTCTGCGCCTGTACCTCTGTCACTGTAGTCATCCACCAGCACCACCTCTTTCAACAGGATGTCAGGGGAAGTCTCCAGCACGCTGTGGACCGTCCTCAGCAGGGTGGACCAGGCCTCGTTGTAGAAGGCGATCACCACGGAGGTCGTCGGCAGAGACCTGTAGTCGTACTTCAGCTCTCTGCAGCTGTTCGGAGAGTGTTAGGGCATAAATAAAAAGAGGTGAGGCTGCACACGGATATCCTGATGGGACACACACTTGAAGTGCAAACAGTGGAAGACAGCAAAAAGCAACTGGACTTCCCACTTCTCATCTAAGAGGCTTCTTCAGTTCTGCACCAAGAGGCTTCTTTGGTGCTGAAGTGAAAAGGCCTCCTGGATAAGAGGTGAAATAAGAAAGATCTGCTTTTTTTTTAACTGAAGCCCTCATGACCAGGATGAGTGAGTGTACACAGGCAGGATGGCAGAACACACTCAGATATGGCAAGCTGCAGTTACTACTCCACCCAAACAGCAAATGACTCAATAGTACTCCCCCTTTGTGGCATGCATTAACTTGGGTTATAACTTTACATCTAAACTGCATGAAACTTCCCCACTCAGAGACAGTTCAGATGCAAACAGCTGACATCTCTGAACTTACAGCGGGTGCCATCTCTCCGGCAGCCTGCGGTGGAGCGACACTTTATCACTGACATAAACGTTAATCTGGTGCTTCTTGAGACTCTCCTCTTGCTCCCTCCTCTCCTCCTCGTTCAGCTTCAGCTTCACAGCTTTGCCCATTTCTCCCAGGACGTTGAGATCCAAGGGGGGCCTCTCGTAGACGGGCTTCTTGAGCAGCTCGTTGTCCACCTCTCCTCCGGGGGCTTCCCGTCGACCAGCAGCGCCCACGTCCCCGGAGTTCAGCCCGACAAATATCAGATATCCCACCAGAGTGGCACCGAAGAGAAAAGCGAGCAGCTTGGGTCTGTTCCTTCTTCCGCAAGCTGCCATCGTGTCGCAAAGTTAGGTCGAGGTCTCATGCCCCGAGCGTCCCAAGGAGCTAGTTTGAGCCTCGTCGCGGTCCCGTTTCGCTACTTCAGGTTCGTACTTTGAGGAGAAGTCCAGGTGGAGAGTGTACGGAGTTTGCGTCAAAGTTGGTTTTCATTGTGAAAGTCCAACCAGGAGTCTCTGAAAAGAACTTGCGGGAGTAGAAAACACTCCCCCTCCTCCTCCTCCTCCTTCTCCTCCTCCTCTTCGTCCTCCTCCACGGTGAGCCACAGAGGTGTGAAAGATTAGCAAACAGATTAGCCGACGGTTATCTCCCGGGATTAGTTAGTTAGCTGCCTTAACCTGTTGGAGAAACGACAAAATCTAGGTCAAATCAAAAGCCCTCCTCCGCTGTTTGCTTCACTTTTCAGCGACGAAAGTGAATTCAAATACTAAATTGTCTTCGTGTTAACAGGGTTGTCATAATTTGCGAAACAATGCAGCCTCACCTGTTGTTTGCGGAGCAGACACAAACTTTGCCTCCAGGCTACTTCAATTGGCGTTGAAGTGAGCTGTCAAGCTAGCGGAGCTAACTACCGGTTTACACATGTCAAAATAAAAGCTTGTGGCGGTTCTAGACAAATTTTACTGGAGGGCACTTTTAAAAAAAAAAAAAAAACGACAACAATGATATTTAAGCATTAAAAACTTTTATATTACTTTATATCAACATTAAATAAATGTTTTGTTTTGTTTTGTTTTTACAAAAAATACATCAAATGAAACAATGAGGTTATCAGGGCCAGTGTTGAAATGTGTAACATAACAGGAAAGGTTAAGTGTAACTTTATGTAATTATAACAATGAATATAATAACAAGAAGATAAAATATATAATGCCTATTATATATTGCAAACATATAAAACAGATAACTCCATCTTCACAAACCTTCAGAAAACCCACTTTTCCATCGTCTACCTGAGACAATATCAGTCAAACTTAAGTTATCTCTATTCTTGTCATGCCATTCCTGCTGAGTCATACCCTTCAACTTCAGTTTGACTGATATTATCTCAAGCTAATAACAAAAAATAAGTTTTCTGAAAATCTGCAAAAATGGAGTTACCTGTTTTTGCAAATGAACTCTTCATATATTTAACCCACAACCACTGCTGCACCACTGACCCTGTTACACATACATCTCATTATGTGGTGTCCTCGCGGAGGTGGTGACATCATTAGGTACACTGGTGTTCCAATTGCACATTAACCGCGAGTTACCAAGTACACAAGTCCGTATATGTCCAGGAGACGGCACTGAGAGAAAAGCCGAGCTGCAGTTTGGGGGCGTCGCTCTATTTCATCCTTTTTTCATTAAGCTGGTCTTAAATGCGAATAAAACAAAAGTTATGCATTTCTCTAGATCACACTCCAGGCCTCCTGCTCCTAACATCTCCACATCTGAGAGAAAGCACATAGAACAAGTGGTTTCCTATAAATATCTTGGGGTTTGGCTTGATTCCAGAATAACCTTTTCCACTCATTTGGATAGACTTGTCAAAAAAAACTCAAGTTTAAGCTAGGTTTTTATTTTAGAAATAAGCAATGTTTTAACCTCACTACCGAAAGGAGACTTGTCATGACTACCTTTCTCCCTGTGATCGATTATGGTGACGTTCTTTATATGCATGCCCCTGCTGCATCCCTTAAGGTGTTAGACACTGTATATCATGGTGCCTTGCATTTTATTCTAAACACCAAATCTCTCACCCATCACTGTCTCTTATATGAAGGGTCAGGACTGACATCACTACACTACCGCAGATGGCTCCACTGGCATATTTTCATCTACAAAGCCATCTTAGGTTTTCTCCCTGGCTATTTAAATCGCCTCCTCATTCGCTTCACTAGTGGGTACAGCCTCCACTCCCAGGACATTATACTGTTCTCGGTCCCTCGTGCCTTGACTGCATTCAGGAAGACTGCGTTTTGTTACAATGCCCCTTGGTCCTGGAATTTGATCCAGAAAACGCTCAAACTGTCTGACCTGATTTCCTTGGAAGATTTTAAATGTTTGTTCCAAACTGTAAAAACAGAAGTCTGTAGCTGCTTTAAATGAGTTTTTATGTACTGTATGTATTCCATGTATTTATGCCTAACAGTGATAATATATTACTTAGTTTATTTTTGTGTGTGTTGTATTGTTGGAACCCTTGTTGCTGCCCTCTTGGCCAGGGCTCCCTTGTAAAAGAGATGTCAATCTCAATGGGACTCACCTGGTTAAATAAAGGTTAAATAAAATAAAATAAAATAAAATAAAAATCCTATAGCGCACAGAGCCACATTAGTTTCGGTTGTTATAAAGTGATTCGTTTATTACTCAGTGAATACAGTTTGGACATTTGGATAGAGGCACTGGCCCCTGTAGGCCCCTGTGTAAAACCGCCACTGGTTACCTTTTTGAATTTACTGTAATATAAATACATGCATAAAAAATGTAAAAGTCACGTTTTTTATGTGTAATAAGTCATAAAATGGCTTAAAGCAGCTGGCAGAGGCAGTTTAGTGTTCATGCAATACCATATATTGTGGTTAACAATGCCATGAATGTAAACCTATTTGATGTGATACTTTTTTGTCTGAGTGTATTTGAATGTATAAAATGACCAGTTAGTTTCCATGTACATTAGTTAAGCTGTTACCTAACCATAGACTGTATATAGGGCCTAAACTTGGATGACATTCATGAGTAGTTTAATGTGAAAAAGATGGGTCTGAAGTGTTTAGTTTTCTTCCTCTTTCAACCACACTTTTTTAAAAGTGCATTTTTGTGCCTTAAACCACTTCTCTGTATTCCATCAATTTCTATCAAAACAAATTTAATGCTTTTATTTTGAAGGAAATCTAGATTGGCTTCTGTGACTTGGACGTTTTGAACCAAGTCCAGTGGCAGGGAAATCTTTTAGAAGGCACAAATAAACTGGCCTAAAATATTTGGTAAAGGGCTAATCACTTGCTCCCCAATATTTCAGACACAGATAGTTCATTTATTGATCTATTCCATGCAGTAGTTTGATACCCAGGTAGGCTATGACTCCTTCTCACTAATTTGAAGAATATTGTTCCATGTCTGTGTGGATTCTCAGTCATGCAGGTCACAACAATCATAGGAGCTTCAGCAAAAAGCAACTAACCTTCTCTTTTTGGTTCTTGAAGATGTTTCACCTCTCATTCAAGAGGCCGCTCCAGTTTTTCAGAACTGAAAAGGCCTCTTGGATGAGAGTGACGCATCTTCAAGAACCAAAGAAAAAGAGAAGTCCGGTTGCTTTATACCAAAGCTCTTAGGATTACTACAACCTCGATTACTAAAAATCTCCACAAATGAGACAGCGGTGTTGTAATGTTTAGATATGGCAAGCAGCGGTTATTTCACAACAGCAGCAAATAACTGACGTTTAAGAGCGACGCAAATTTTTAACGACTTGAGTCATAACTTTACTGGAATATCAAAAATGCATAAAATCCCACTAACCTTTTACAGAAGCTCTTAGGACTATGATTGACCCCCAACACCTTATAGGCCGTTCTCTTCCAGAGTCACCTTCAGCTGTACCGAACACCCGTTTTTGAAGCACCTTTACAAGCCCAGGACCCAAGCTTCCAAACCATTTACCTCGGTGGTCTTTTTTCATACAAGGCCGGTTGTCACTCATATGAAACTGATATGAAAACTCTTGACACCAAAGATGAAATCTGACACAAAATGTATGTTTAAGCAAATTAAAATGCTAAATAATTAAGGCGACCATTCAAGGCGAGAAGGTAATTTGAGTGGCATACTGTTTGATCGAGTACACATATTGTGAAAATTACAAAGAGACACGGGAAGGCAACAAGTCACCCGGAGTGTTGTAATATACCACGCTACACTGGGCTTTGTCGTGTCTGTCAGGGGCACAATATTAATGTGAATGCATGAGGGCGTTTTCATTTAGGACTGGATGATGGATAACATTTTCCATGCAACAGATATTTGGTGCAAACGTACGAACGGGAAAATAAAACAGTGGTGAGCTGCACCTTTGGGCTGTTATTATCCTCTCTGGTGTCACACCTCTATACGCCAGCATGTATCACAAAGAAATGTATTCAAACTCATTCAAGACATCAAGGTTGAATAAGCAGCTGATTTTTTTTTGGAGGGGGGGGGGATTAAGAAATACATTTGTAGTCAGTTGAAACATTCATGTGTAACCAAAACAACACAGATAATGAAAAACTATTGAAATACACTGCTCAAAAAAATAAAGGCAACACTAAGATAGCACATCCTAGATCTCAATGAATGAATTATTCCAGTTGAAAAACTTCATTCATGACATAGTGGAATGCATTGAGAACAAAATAACATTAAAATGATCAATGTAAATCAACATTATCCCATGGAGGTCTGGATTTGGAATCATTCCTCCAGACAAGTCAAAATGAGGCTCAGTAGTGTGTGTGGCCTCCATGTGCCTGTATGACCTCCCTACAACGCCTGGACATGCTCCTGATGAGGCAGGATGTTCTCCTGAGGGATCGCCTCCCAGACCTGGATTAAAGCATCAGTCAACTCCTGGACCGTCTGTGGTGCAACGTGGTGGATGGAACGAGACATGATGTCCCAGATGTGCTCAGTTGGATTCAAGTCTGGGGGACAATGCCTTCATCATGCAGGAGCTGCTGACACACTTCAGCCACATGAGGCCGAGTGTTGTCATCAGAAGGAACCCAGGGCCCACTGCACCAGCATATGGTCTCACAATGGGTCTGAGGATCTCATGGCAGTCAGGATACCTCTTGCTAGCACATGGAGGGCTGTGCGGCACTCCAAAGAAATGCTTCCCCACATCATTACTGACCCACCGCCAAACCGGTCATACTGGAGGATGTTGCAGGCAGCAGAACGTTCTCCACGGCGTCTCCAGACTCTGTCACGTCTGTCACATGTGCTCAGTGTGAACCATGTGCCAATGGCCAATCTGCCAATCTTGATGTTCTCTGGCAAATGCCAATCGCTCTCACGGTGTTGGGGTGTAAGCACAAGCCCCACTTGTAGACATCGGGCCCTCATATCACCCTCATGGAGTCTGTTTGAGCAGAAACATGCATATCAGTGGCCTGCTGGAGGTCATCCTGCAGGGCTCTGCCAGTGCTCCTCCTGGTCCTCTTGCACAAAGGAGGAGGTAGCGTCCTGCTGCTGGGTTGTTGCCCTCCTACGGCCCCCTCCACGTCTCCTGGTGTACTGGCCTGTCTCCTGGTATCTCCTCCAGGCTCTGGACACTGTGCTGAGAGACACAGCAAACCTTCTTGCCACAGCTCACATTGATGTGCTATCCTGGATGAGCTGCACTACCTGAGCAACTTGTGTGGGTTGTAGTCACCGCCTCTAGGAGTGAGAGCACTGACAAAATGCAAAGGTGACCAAAGTATTAGCCGGAAAGGATGAGAACAGAGAAATGGTGTGTGGTCACCACCTGCAGAACCACTTCTTTATAGGGATTGTCTTGCTAATTGCCTCTCATTTCCACCTGCTGTCTGTTCCATTTGCAATTCCTTCCTAACTGGACAGGTTGATTTCACAGAAGTGTGACTGACTTGGAGTTACATTGTGTTTTTTTTAGGTGCCCCCTTTATTTTTTTAAGCAGTGTACAATATGGAACCGGTTGATCCTGCCTGTCACACCTCAGATGTTTTGTTGAGGACCTTTCGATGAAGATTTTCAGAATTCCAGAAATGAAGTCTCTGTGCACCAAAACCAGCACAACCTAAAGGGCACTGTGACTGCACATTGCAAAATGGCCGATGTGTTTGGAAAAGAAAAAGGGGGAAATAAAGGGAATAAGGCAAAAATAAAAACACCACCAAGCTGTCAGCAACCAAAAATTTCACAGAATGATCAACCAACGATCTACTAATTTTCTGTTGTAGCCTAGTGCAGTGTTTTCTTATAGATTTGAGTCGAGGCTTTTTTTCTAGTGGCCTATTTTGTCTGAAAGATCTTAAACCTATACTTCAACTGATCGATAAAGAAAGCAACAAGTGTGAAAAGAATTCAGTAAAACTGATCAAGTGAAGGAGACGGATGGTGCAGACATGTATTGTACCGTACAGGTATTTTGTAGCGTAACTAAAATAAACAATCGATTCTATAAATACATTTTCCAGGTTCCTGTCAGGCCCTTCCTCCTTTGTTGTGTTGTTCTGCTTTCTCTGCCGTTACTTGTCCAGTCTTCATGCCGCAGGCTCGCCACTGTGTCTGGATTCATATTTTCATTTCTCTCTTTCATCCACCGTCAGAAGATGATATAAATTCTCTGATCAGATGGAATCACGAGGGGACTGGTTAGGGTGCACACCACACAGGCACAAATACCCTGAGCAGCAAGTCCCTGGTTGGATTTCCAGCTGGAGACCATCTGCTGCATGTCATTCCCTTACTCTCCTTCCCTACAGTTTGTCCCTCCTCACTGTCATTGCAAAATAAAGGTATAAAAATGTTTCAAAAATAGTCTAAAACTTTACATCATTATTTTATTTCTTAGCCAAAGTTTAACCCAACTAACCCCTGAACATTGTATGTTTAATTATCACCCAATCTATGAAACGAGCTATCTTAAAAGACGTGAAATCTGACTTGTTTACTTAAATTTTACCTGCGATATTCACTTCCTTAAATGTGTATCAAGAACAGAGTCAATAAACCATGTATTGTGACTTTGATTAACTATTCTCTGCGGACACGGACGCAGAAAACTGTGTGGGGAAAAAAAAAAAATACAGAAGAGATAAAAGTCAATGCAGTTCCACACCATTTGGTCTCCACAAGTAGAAATCGAAGTGCCTCTCTTCCTCGGTGGCCTGCCATTAGCAGCGTCGGTGCCAGTAGGTGGTGCCAAATGACTGTGAATGCTGTAACCCATGGCCGAGCTGCTCACTGGATCTGGAGGCAGCTCGACAGCCTTTGGTAAATTCGAAAATAATTCCAGGCATTGGCACAATATAAAGACGCAAATATTGAAGTTACAGCAGCTTGTAAGACCCTTTTCTTGCTCTATCTTGTATTATATCTGATGCCAAAAACAAAACAACAACAAAAAAAGGATTCCTAGTATACTTACAACATGCCGTGTGTGTACTGGAGACAGTAAAAACAACACAAAAACATGTATTTGCGGTTAGTTTTTTTTTATTCTTCAATCATTCCAATAACTTTAATCTTTTTTTTTTTTTTAAAAACATCCATCCCATTTCACTCCATCCTCTTCTTCATATCAAGTAATCCACTTCCCTTTTGCATTATCAGTAGTTTTAGAGGTGTTTTACATTAGCACTGTCCCCCTCTGGTCCCTTAAACCAAACAGTATTTACAAAAGGTAACACAAAACAGGAGTCATCTTACATGTTTACCTACTGTACCCACCGACTAGCATGAATATCTCATATTCACGAGTGCAACGGACCGCAGAGACCAAACATTGCTCAGCGACAATCAGTCTTCAACAAATAAAGCTGCTATTCACCCGACAGTTCACCAACAGTTACACTGCATCTCTTGGTCCTTGATTCCCAGTAGAAGCACAAACGTGGTCTTCAGTGGAAAAAAAAACAACAAAAAAACAACCAAAAACAACAACAACAAAACTGGAGTGTTTTTGATGCAGTTTCAAGTACAGTTTACACACACAGGAGTCTTAACAAAACAGTGGCACAGAGGTGCTCCCTTTAAGGCTTTTTACGACTAAATAAAATCAAGTTCATCGAGACAGTGTTGTTTTAGTTTTTAGCATTTAAAATTCTCTAAATAAATCTGACACCCACTGGCACATTTCATCTTGGCACGCACACGTTTTTTTTTTTTTTTTTTAGGATGACATTTTTTTTCAAAGGCGAAGTGACAGATGAGTTTAGAGGGTATTCTTAATTTTACACAACAGGAAAGAATGCATTACAACATTCCTGTCAACTCACCAAGCCCTCTGGGGCGAGGTGCACTTGGTTCAAATGCTTAATTTATATTTCAAGTCTTGTTCAGGCAGTATTTCTGCCATGAAACTGGCTCCACAGACAAAAGACAGAATTGAGAAGCAGTCTAGTATGACCACCGCACACGCTCCCTGTTTTCCTCTCACATGACGGAGCATGTGAGGAAGTCACTGGTTTGCCGCTGACCTTACGTTCCCTGCACATCTTCTCTCAGCAGCCCGCTTTTACATTTTTTTGACAACTCAACAAACAAAGCACGAGGATTTAACAATAATAATTCATATTAATTGCACATTAGGGTAGCATTCTGTAGTGCAACAGGACTTTGCGACTGGTTTTCAAAGAAATCGTCTTGAATATCTTCGAAGGCACTTCTTCATGTGCTGGACAGTCAAATCAGCTTCACCGCTCTCTAGTCGTTTCAAGAGCGCGTGAAAAATAATGACACTTCAGGTGTGCAATGTTCTCCATTTTGGTTGCAGAAGCACTTCAAATCAACACAAAAGTCTTCAGCTTCAGTTAGTCTCCATAAAAAGACCAAATGAACCTCACCTTGCAATTCTCATTCATTCCGCTGCAATCTGGATTTATTCAGTCATTCATGTGGTTATAAAAGTGCTGAATTGGGTGAATCATTGGCTTAAACGGACTTTTTCCAAAACCTTTTGTTGCTTGCCTTTCCCATTCAAATGGAGTGCAGACTTGTAGAGCGAGAGAATTGGGAGCAGCGGAGACGACCTCCACTGTAGTAATTGCACTGTGGTCATAGAAGGTCACTTGAGGTTTCCAAGCTACTTTTTTCACTTCCTTCTTCTACCATTCAAACTTCCACTGCTGGCTTTTGTCTCCTGGGTTGCACCGCCTCATCTGGGTGTCTGTGCGGCCCTCCGTTGTGCGGTAGGCCGTCACGCACATGTCCGAGTGAGGATGGTAGATGGTCCCATCCTGTGAGGATTAAAGGAGAAACTGAGGATTAGAGTTTGTGGGAGTTTTCATCCTGTGGAATAACACCTGGGTTTGCGCTTGCATGAGGGAGCGCATGTTTCTGAAATGAGGCTCTTACCTGTCTGAACTCCCAAATGACACTGGGAGGTTTGGCCTCCCCATCACGAGGGCAGTGCCTCATTCCCATGGAGGTCTGTCCATCGAGTACTTCAGCACACAGCTCTGTCACCGAGTTGAAACGGATCTCCTTGTGAGACGTGTATTCGAAGTACTGGAGCAGAAGAGAGACTGGTTATGTGGCTATTTGTTGCTGTATATACAGTGCAAGTGTGTTCCTTTGACAACAAGCTTGTATTTGCAGTGACTAAGAGATTAACATGATGTTCCTCTTTCTTTCCAATTTGTTTTGCTACATCTCTCTATATTTAGAAAGACTTTGAACAAGCCAAATAGTGCAGGTTGGCATTTTTTTCCACTAGGATTACAGGATGTTTTCCTCTGCTGTGGGATCGTGTCCTGACTGAGCCAGCGTTGCATGGCGTGTCTGCATGTGTGTCACGGGATCTCATCAGTAAAGACAGGGCCTTGGCCCTCTCAATCAAGCAGACATGAACACAAACCCAACTCTTCCCCTCTGGTGTCATTTCAACATCCTGGCCCAGTGGGACAAAAGACGCAATGCTCCCTGGGCTGCCTGTTAAACGGAGGGTCAGGTAATCAATCTTCATACTTCCCCATCCTTCACTTCACATCTCATACATCTTTCAGGTGCATCGGGGCCCATAATGGTCAGTTCTAATAAAAGACTCACACAGGGCCACTGTGTCTGGCTTCAAACTTATTTACCCAGGCTGTGCCATTCATTCTGCCTGCGAGGCTCATGTATCTTTTAAATGGAGCGTGGTTCTTATGTGGACCAGAGAAGGGGGGCAGGAGGGAGGTGGTGAAGAGCCCTTAGGTTTTTGTTTCACTGGAGAGCCATTCAAACATTGATTTTCAGTCACACATGGTGCTTTTTGTGACTGAGGACACCTGATGCTGTGCATCAGTGGGGTAATCAGAGATATCAAGCAGGTTGAGGATCCACAGAAAGGAGTTCTGCATATTGTCTGACTCCCAACATTAAATATACATCCTCACAGGCAAATAATCTGCTGCTTGCTAAACCATCCATCACTGCAGTTGGCATTCAATCAGATTAAAAGCACCTGTGATTTGACTGCATAATTCTTTCAGGTACATGTGGATGCAATACGGCATTCAGTTTTCCCTTCATTACATTCCAGTCATGCTGGACACACCAGCGGAGAGCAATTTTCTGGTGTGAATCGACTGTGGCAGCTCGTTTTAGGAGTTTGCAGAAAGCGTCGACATATATCTCCCACTGGGCCCAGAGAAGTTGTGGGATTGTGTCAAGAGAGAAAATGTGCGCGAGAGAGATGGAGAATGACAGGATAAACACAGTGAAATACTTAACCTACCTGGTTGCCTCCCTGGCCGTGGCAACCAAACAGAGAAATGTGGGCACCTGTGGGACTGTGCTCTGGGGCGTTGTAGTCAAGACACTCTGAATGTATCCCTGAGCTACGCACCTGGCAGGAGGAAAACAATAAATATCAATAACAATTAAAATGCTGTACTGTGCATCGATTCCTGTGAGGAGTCTCTCTTATTGGTTTTAGCTTCTACAGGGAGGTCAGACTGTAAGGCCACACACAGAACAGAATCCCTGAAGCTAGTAGAGCCAAAGTGTCTCTTAGAAACAGAAACAGACTTCCACCTGCTGTTTGCTTATTTTCTACATCAACACACTCAATCAATATGTAATTCTAATGAAATTTCTGGTGCTTTCATATATAAATGCAAACATTTCTCCCTCAGTATTTTAAGGTTATGTCCCAGTGTACCTCTGGGTAGTTTAGACAGAAGATCATTCCAGATGTTGGACAATGTCCCTGTTCTATTACATGTAACATGAAAGTTATCAGTGTAAGACATAGAACAAGTGGTGGATTTTTGGATATTAAGGCTGAAGAAGAAACCTCTCGGGGATTTCTTTTTTTTTTTTCTTCAGGCAGAATGGTTCCATTGTTGAGGCTGAAAATAAATGATTTCAGAATCCAACACTGAGCCCACCAAGATCTGTGTGCAAAGCATTTTACAATGTAATATTTCACCAGGTGCCTGAATTAGAACAGTCTTGAGCCCAGTCCAAATGGATTTCAAAGCCTTTGTTTGTCTTAGTCCAGCCTTCTCACTTTCAAAAGGATTTGCCCGTATCATGCCGCACCCTAATAGCCAGTTGGAGACTCAGATGGACTTGGCAAAAAAAAAAAAAAAAAAAGGCACAGCAGTGTTGCCATTCTCTTTGTGACTTCTATAATTCACGAGATTTGTGAAGATAAATGCTGCGCTAACAGGTTGGTGATGGGATTCGGACACAGTGTATCGTTAGGAGACACTTACAGCCCCGTGCCAGCCCCCCCTGTCCTCAGGTACATGCAGGTCAGGGTAGACATTCTTCAGATACCAGTCAAAACTGTTGCATTTCAGTTTCTCCCTCAGCAGGAGTCGCTCTGAGATATCCCCATAGGTCTCCTATAAAATAAACACACAATGGATGAGTCACTGTTGGCGCTGAAAGACCTCATTGTATTTGGTTGGCAGGACAGCACGCTGAAGTTTGTTTAGCGTACACCTCCATGACGTGGCAATATCAATTCATCTTTTTTGACTTTATTCATTACAGAATGCACATTGTGGGATTTAAAACATAAACAGTCACACCATAAAAGCTAATATTTACATCCTGGTTATGATGACTACATGCCACCTGAGTCTAGCTGGATCCTAAGAAAACCAACCAGCAGGAGATTTCCCACTCACTGTACATACTTTAGATAGCTGTATTTGTTAAGTTGTAAAACTCCACCTTAAGCAAGTCCGGAACATGAACACATGTTCCTTAGCGTTGCCTGAGGGTGGATTGTAAAAATGTGGTGTTACACCTGCGCTAAGCTAATTAAGTCACACACGCACACAAGTATTCTCACCTGTCTTTCAGGATCAGATTATACATTGTGTTTTATAGGGTCGTACAAAGTGCTCCAATATATGTCTTGTATGTCTAATAGTGTATATTGCTGGTGGACCTCCAGAACAGCTCTTTAAATTTTATTGTGCTTGTATAATGACAATAAAGACTTTCTATTCTAATCTATTCTAAAAAAAAAATGGTGCTCAACCAACAATTACGGCACGCAGTTTCTAAAATTAACAAAAACAGACAAGTATGTGAGTAAGTAAGTAAGTAAATAAGATTTGGATCCTCTTTTAATCCTTCATGAAACTGCTAATGCAGTTAAGCCATTCAACTCCAAATCTCTAAAATCCAGGATACAGAAATTCATCACAAAGCAAACAATAAATCTGGAATATAATGTAAACTGGTTGTCCATCTGTCGGAATATTGTAAAAAGCCTGAATATAAAATCCAAATAACGTCATAAAAATTCTATCATGCAATACTCAAAACCAATAGTATGTCTAAAGCTCTACAGCTGCAGTCTGCTAAATATTATGTCAGCAGTATAATAGATTTGCAACTTATGATCTGATCTGGCAATGCTGTGTTCAATCTCCCTCTGACCAGGTAATTTATTGTTTGATCAAAGATCCCTGACATTAATAATGTACTTTTTTTCAGATAGGTGAAACTGAGATACATGAATTTTTGATGGTGCCCAATACTCAGAACCTGAGAGGCACAGCACACGTACCGTACGCACACATACACATCTGACCCAGTCAGGGACACAAAGTGTGATCATATGTTGACACCTACACAGGTAAATTATATCGTATTAAAAGATCTATATCTAACGTCAAAGGTAAAACAGGCTCTGTGCCATATGAACATGGTGCTGCAGGTGTAGCATGTCATTACTGCACAGCTTCAGTTTAACACCAGTGAAATGAAAGAATGAACAGCAACCATGTAACAGGCTGACCAAGACCAAGAAACTCAGAGCCTGGAGAATGTGTTTGCTCCAATCTGATAGAAGAAATGTTCAGTATCACAGCAACACACAGTTTAAAAACTTGCTTTCTTTGTTTACGCGTGTCCTACCTTTCTGGCCGGGGGGTTCCTGTGGTAGAAGTGTTGTTTATAAAAGTCCATCCAAACCTCCGCCGCTCGCACAGTATTCTGGAGGAAGTTGGGCCGCGCGTAAGGGGCTTTTTTAGGGAACACATGGCCCACGTGAGAGCAGGGGTGAATCTCCAGACTTCCCCCACACTGCCACACCTGAGGGTGCCAGACACATGACATACCACAGATAAGATCTTTTTGATTTCCTTTCAACTCATAGTGCCATCGGTCCTTCTCGTCTATTTATTTTATGTTGCATTTTCTCCTTTTTTTGTTGGAGAACAGTAACTAGTTCTTTTATACAACGTGTTTACATTTATGTGTCTGCAGCATGACTAAAAATGTTTCTGAAACAGGCCACTTTGCATTGATGCACTGCCATTTTTGTCAGTGCAGGCTGTTGTAATGATATACACATAGTGTGATAAGGAATCAGCAATAACATAGGTAGGGCATGTTTATCATTAACCTGGTATACTGTCAGTTGTGCATCGCATTTGAATTGACAATCCCCAACAACGGGTGAACTTTGATTCTTGAGTATTCAAATCAAAGCCGGCACACAGTCCAAACCGAAACTGTTTGGACAACTGCACGTTTTGTAATCTTCAGGCTCGGTGTAGCAGCACATTCAGCCTGAAATAAAACATGGATAGTGCAATAAAGCGCCGAGTCTCAACTTCGATTTGAGTCGATTTACAAAAGAACTATGTGTGAGATACGGCTCTTATAACACAGCGCACGAAATTGCACGGCTTCATAAGTAATTGGACACTTGGCTGCTTAATGTCTTTTTTGGCAGCTGTATGTCATTTCAACGGTGGTTCATGCACAAAGGGGCTCAGACGCGGCTCAGGCCTGACTGACAGTTGAGAGCTGCTGTTTAGATTAGGGTGGAGTTTTCTGTCACTGCGAGGAGAAGATAATAATGCGGCTGGAAAAAAAAAAATCTATCAGAGTGATAACAAAAGGTAGTTGGTTTGCTAAAATCAACAGCAACAGATTTTATTTTTTTTAAAGAAAGCAATTGCACAACAGAAAAACAACAAAATAGCAAATGACATGTTAGACTGAGTGTTGTGTGACGAGCGATAAAATCATTTGCAAAGACAAAAACCTTTAGAAGCGCACAGCAAATCCATAAAGGTCTGCAGGACGTACGCGTTCCTTCCTTTGTCAATGATCAAGAGAAGTTTTTATGACTAGAACCTCAGAGCATTTAGATCTAAACCCCTGGTAAACCTTAAAAACCGACAGGCCAGGCTGCAATTCTTGAAAGCATGTAGACTTGAAAAACTAACTTCTACAGACAGCTGAAACAAAATAAATAAATCTCTATCAAACTGATGTGAAAGAGAAAAGAAGAGAGAGAAAAAAAAAAGCCCATGACCCAAAGCACTGCTTCATCCATCTTACGGCTTGCGTATATATGGCTGCTGACGGAACTGGCACACTGGCGTTTATTGTTGATTTCACTGCTGACAGAACGTAACAGGATGAAAGCAGAGGTTTACAAGAGTATTATGTGCACTCAGATTGATTTCATTATGCATGCGATACATACAAGAGCTTTTCAGGACAAAGAGGTAGAATATCCTCAACTGGCTGAGTCGATCACATGATCTCTGTTTGATGGAGCTGCATTCCAGGAGGTGAAGACCAGACTAAAAGCAGACGGCAAGCAAGAGCTGAAGGTGCCGGCAGTGAAGGCCCGCGAGAGGGTGATGTCTATGCAGCTACGACTTTAGGTAGTCAATGACCACTAATGACTTTTCACTACATATTGGATATAATAATTCTGTTAGGCTGTAAGTGCATTTGGTCAACCACAATTCAACGCTTAACTTTTGAGCACTTTGCGTTAAAAGGGTTAAATTTCCCACACTGTTTAGCTTGGCACAATATTAGATATGTCAAAATATTTACATGCAGATGGGAAGCGGCGATCATCTTACATATTTTATCCTAATAATGACCATGCACACGGAAGCCTAAACATTTATGTGAACCGGTACACAAACCTAACTTCATAAAAAATAATGTGTGCGGTGGCTGACGCTGTGCTAGAAGTCCTCTCCGAATGAATAATTTATCTTCAATCTTACCATAAAAATTCAACCCCTGCTTCTTGTGAGTCACACAGTTGCATTTGAACACAGCTCTGATTTATGATACCAATTTACATTGTATAATTGCCTGATATTTCGCCATAGAAAAACCGAGAAAAAAAAAAGAGGAAGCCTAAAGAATGAAAGGTTGTTAACAAGGTATTTCTTGATAGTTGGCTGAGCTGTGCTCCAATTACACAAGGCAAAATCATTATCATATATCCATGGTCAAACAGTCTCCACACGACAGTCCTTTCAATCTTAATTCACCAGGCATTTTACCACGCACCATTATTTTTTAGCACTCCAAAAACAGACCTGAAAGCCAATTCGCTACACATAAATTATGTATGACGAAAAAAGTCCAAGTGAGAGGCAATTTTGTTTCCGCATGCATAACGCACAACTCAGAGGAACAGCACATTCATCTTCACCCTGAAACCAAATACACCAAATACAAATCACGTGATTCAAATGACCTGATCTTGCACGTTCCTGCCACAAACATGCACAGAGCCTAAAAATCTGTGCCAGATTGATTGACGCAAACAAGTGAAAAGCGACACCGACGTCACAACAAGGTATCGGCCAATATCAGTGTGCAGTTTCAGATGCCACGGCTGACTGCGATCTGACACTGACATGTGTCGCTCTCACATCAGTTACGCACTGACTGCTAGCTGTTACGCTGATGAAAAGCATATTCACTCCGGCAACGAGATGCCAAAAAAGCCTCAATCTACTGAGCTTTCTCCTTACTTTTTATCACAGTTAACAAGCGAGCTGAGTCAATGGACGCTCTGTCTGGGAGCAGGAGATTTAGTAACACAGCAAGTCACTCTTTCCCAATATTTTAAAAGCTGCACTCTGGTCTCATATTGCTAAGTGGCACTGCGGTGGTAAAGCGGAGACTTTACTCTGTGATCCTCGCTGATGGAAAATTGAACTCACCCTGAAGGAGAGCTCCAGGTTTTCTCCTCCCCACACCTCCATGCCTGTGTCATATGTGCCAAGGTACTGAAAGTAGGCCTTGCTCACAGCAAATAAGCCACCCGCCATAGTGGGAGACCTATCAGAATACAGGCACAAGAACATCATTTAAACACAAAGTACAAAAGGCTTCTCAATGTTTCACAGATCAGTTAAAGCGTTGAAGTGTAATGAAAGCAGCAAATATTCTATTCTAAGTAACAGAACACACAGCAGTGGGAGGTGTATTACATTTTTGACAGCAGATCTCCACATTGCTACGTGCCAATCTGATAAGGTGATATCTCATGCGAGGAGACGTCGCAAAGCGTCATACTGTTACCTGATGGGGTCAATGCGAGACTTGCGCCTCTTGCGTTCCACTTCGGGGACAGAGTGCCACTGAAAGGTGAGTCTCCAGTCAAATCCTCCAATCATCGGCTCGTCCGTTTGCATGTAGAACTCAAAGGTGTTCCAGTCGATGGTGTCGATCACGGGGCACACGATGGTGCTGGCGTTCTCACCGATCCTTAACGCAAAGCCAGTAATGAAATTGGGTGAAAGTGGAAAAAGACAACTTCGTTGTGCCAATTACGAGACAGTTTTGTTTTAAATTGTTCACAAAATTCCGCGACTCACCTCTCCAGCAGAGGCTCAATCCAGCCGGGGACGCACTCGCAGTGGCAATCAAGAAATGTCAGTACATCTCCAGTGGCATAGGTGGCGCCGATGAGACGTGCCCGAACCAGACCCTCCCTTTTGTTGGTGCGGATGAGTCGGACACGTTCCAAATTACTGATGTAGTCGGCCAGCTGGGACTTCAGGTAGCCTATTTTTCACAATGCAAAAAAACATAGATAAAGATTTTTATTGTAATTTAATTTCCTCTTCCTGCAAAGCTACACTTTCTTGCCAGGCAGCCAACAGTGATCTAAACCGGCTGACAGGCACATGGCTGCTTCCAAATCCGCGATGAATAAAATTGTTATGGTCAAAAACAAGTGTCTACATTCAAATCAAGCAAACCTGAAGCAACAAACACATCCTTGTAGCTGCGATTCATGTCAAATGATGAATGCATGTCAGATATTCAGTTTTGCCTTTTTCCGTTTTCTTTTTCAACTCCTGATGAAAAAAAATTTGCTTTTAACTAGATAGATGCCCAAATTTGTCCTCCATCTATTTTTATAAATTTTATGCCGTCCCTGATTAGTGCTAGAGCTGCAACAATAAAATTATGAATTTTAAATTTAAATTACTCAAGTTGATTCATTTTTTAAGATAAAAAAGGCCACAATTCTCTGATTCAAGCTTCCTAAATTTGAATATTTTCCTCTCTCATTCGTCCTCTATAACTTTGAGATAAATATCTTTGGGTGGAGAAAAAACACAAGACGGCGGCGGCTCTGGGACACACTGACGGACGTTTCTTGCAATTTTCTGATATTTTACAGAGCAAAACAACTTAATAAACCAGCACATTAATCGACAATGAAAATATTCATTAGTCGCTGCCCCAATTACGAGAGCTCATACTCGGCCAAAAGGAAGTTTGCAGGCGGCAGAATAAATCCAGCTCACAGGCTGTAGAGCTGAGTGGCGGTGTCATGGGATTATGGAAAAACTATTTTATTGCAAATTTATTGTATGAGTTAAGTCAGTATTGACATTGAAGCCTTTGCTGGTGAATGACGTACTTTGTACTTTATGTGCAAATAATCACTGACATCTTAACAAAGCTTGGTATGAAAGACGCTGTTGAACCGGCTTGACAACAAGTCAAAGCTGTCAGTCCTCCAGTCGCTGCCAGTCTGCAGAAACCCTTCTGGTCCGGGAGTGGCATGTCTAGCATTCCATTTGGTCAGGGTGGTTAACGGAGAGGAAACGATGTCATAGCAGCTCAGTGCTCACTGAAGTCACCATTATGGTGTAATGTCTCCGATACACGCGGCCTAGACTAGCTGGGAACAAATCCTAATTCCATTAACACAGACAGACATCAAGCTGCTCCTATATCCAGTTTCCGAGACGAAGTGGTATCATTCTCAAAGTCCTTAGAAAGCAGACATTCAATTCACTGAAGAAAACTGTGAGATGTGGTTGAAAGCTCTCTAAAAGTCAGTGTGCAGACTTTGAGTTGAGACCACTTCGCTACACACACACACACACACACACACACACACACACAGTGCTCCCGAGGTCAAGAATGTTAATGCTGAAGTTCCCGACTGTCTCAGGCAGAGGCTCGCTCAAGAATGAGATGAATAATAACACTTCATTTGTCTTCCTGTCTTTCAATTAATGGACTGGAAATACGAGTCTGCCATCAAAACGAAAACCCCGCATTCACACAAGCATGAACACTGAGAATGAGACAAGCAGAGGCTGGAGCGGAGACCTGCAGGAAATAAAACAAATCATCTGCAGCCGCTTTGCCAAGAAGTTGCTAATTTCTAAAACTGTTTCATAACTAGGATGTTTTTCCAAAATCGCTTTTGGAATATATCCAGAGGCATTCACTACTCACCCCTCCGTAGATAGCATATTTGTTTTTCTATATATAGCAGAGTCATTGTGACAAAATCAAAGTGTACAAGTGAGGTTTGGCTCGTCTGCTTTACTAAACTAGGCCAAAACTGTCAGTCCTCGTTGTTTCTCAGCTTGAAAGGATATTCTTCTGCCTAGTTTTACTTCAACACAGACAAAATAACACACTGTTTTTAGTGCCTGACCTCGGTCACTGTAGTCGTCAATGAGGATGATCTCTTTCAACAGGATGGCAGGCGTGGTCTCCAGCACGCTGTGAATAGTCCTCAGCAGGGTGGACCAGGCCTCGTTGTAGAAGGCTATGATCACAGAGGTGGTGGGTAAATGTCGGTAGTCAAACTTCTTACTTCGGCATCTAAGGTATTCGTGTGTGTGTGTGTGTGTGTGTGTGGGTGTTTGTGTGGGTGGAGGGAGAGACAGAGTTGACATAAGCATTAGTAGACATATACAACACATATTTATATTTTAAAAAACAAACAAAAAAAAACACAACAGCACTTTAGAAGGAGCTCATACAACAAGTAAGATGGGATTTTTCAAACGGCCAGAGCAGCTTCAGCAACTAGTGTGGCAGGAGGAGGTGTTTGGTCTTAATCCAGATGGCAGTCATTAAAACAATAAAAGGGCTCCAGAAATATGGATGGGGGTGGGGAGGGTATCACACCGATGAGCAACATACCACAGCAGCGCTCTGGGAGAGACCGCACGAACGTGAGCAAACAGAGACGAAAAGAGCAAAACAGAGAGAGAGAGAGAGAGAGGGGGGACGGGAGGGGAAAAAATGGATGAAAAGTGAAATAAGAGGAATAAAAACTTGAGAGAACAAACTAGGCGTTGAGGAAGAACGAGAGGAGAAGCATCAAAAGCAGAGAGGGCACATAGTTTCCTACGAGCTCCACTTGGACAAAAAAAACGAGATTTCTGGTGATTTTGTGGCCGGAGACTCATCTCACAGCTATGACACTGCTGGAAGTGAGCTGGGATTAGAACAAACACATCATGTCCTAGCATTAATCCCCGCCAATTAAATCTGTTGTTTTTCCTCACTTCAAAAGAAAAGTGTTCATCGTGCTGCACTTTCATCAAAGTAGTCGAAAGCAATTCTGCAACGAAACCTGCTCCCAACAGGAAACTTAACTTGTCACGGAATAAGTCCTGAAAGATAACAAGCATACACACACACCCTTAAAATAAATTAACCTGGCAGGACATCATCTAATTGCGTAGAGTGTTGCTAGGCTTCAAGCCAAGTAGAAACACTACTGCACCTGGGACTGTCTGCATCCATTCACTGATATCTGTGAAGAGTGGAATCCACAAATCTCACTTCCTGTAATAACAGCCCATGATGACTGACGATCATTCACACTTCAGCTTTATGTACAGTTAAAACCAGATGTTTACACACACTGTATTAAAAGACACAGAACCTTTTTTTCCTCACTGTCTGACATTAAATCAGACTAAACTTTTCCTGTTTTAGGTCAGTTACGATTACCTAAATTATTTCTATTTGCTGAATGCCACAATAATGAGAGAGAGAAGTTTTTGTATTTCTTTCTTCAAAGTCAGAAGTTTACATACACAAAGATTACTATGTCTTCAAACTAATTGGGAAAGCCCAGATGATGATGTCATGGTTTTGGAAGCTTTTGATAGGTTAACTGACAACATCTGAGTTAATTGGAGGCACACCTGTAGATGTATTTTAACACTCAATGTTACAATTTCCAGATGCCTGAAGGTTCCACGTTCATATGTCCAAACAATTATGCACAAGTATATATATTTGGTGCAAAATGTGTGTATCAACCCCAGAACAAAAGGAAATGACCTTGTGAAGATGCTGCTGAAGCTGGTCAGACAGTGTCATTGTCCACAGTGAAATCAGTTCTGTGCTGACATGGACTGAAAGGATACTCAGAGAGGAAGAAGACATTAAAAAGCCAGGTTACAGTTTGCAAATGCACACAGGGACAAACACCTTCATTTCTGGAGACACATCCTGTGGTCTGATGGTCTGTTTGGCCTAAATGACCATCGTTACATTTGGAGGAAAAAGGGGGAAGCTTGCCAGCCTGAGAACACCGTCACAACTGTGAAGCACGGGGGTGGCAGCATCATGTTGTGGGGGTGTTTTGCTGCAGGAGGGACTGGTGCACTTCACTAAATAGATGGCATCATTAGGGAAGGAACATTAAGTGGAAATACTGAAGCAACATCTCAAGACATCAGCCAGGAAGTTAAAGCTTGGGCACTAATGGGTCTTCAGATGGACACTGACCCTAAACATACCACCAGATTAGTTACAAAGAGGCTTCAGGACAACAAAGTCAATGTTTTGGAGCCGTCATCACAAAGCCCTGATCTCAATCCTGGAGAAAATTTGTGTGCAGAGCTGAAAAGGTGTGTGGAGCAAGTGGCTTAGAAACCTGACTCAGTTACACCAGTTCTGTCAGGAGGAATGGGCCAAAATTCATCAAACTATTGTGAGAAGCTTGAGGAAGGAAACCCAAAACGTTTGACCCAAGTCATACAGTTTAAAGGCAACGCTACCAAATACTAAGGAAATGTATGTAAACTTCTGACTTTGAAGAAAGTAATAAAAAATTCTCTCTCTCATTATTCTGGCGTTTAGCAAATATAAATAATTTAGGTAATCCTAACCGGCCTGAAACAGGAAGTTTAGTCTGATTCAATGTCAGACATTGGGGAAAAAAAGTGTCTTTTTATGCTGTGTATGTAAACGTCTGGTTTCAACTTAGCTGTAAAAACATGTTCTTTCACAAGCTATCCATATATCCGGGGATTTTCCGAGTTCAGAGAGGGCCTTTGGCAGATGATGCATGACAGTAAGTGTAATGCAATGAGTACAGTAAATGGAAGGGGTCTGTGCTCCCTACTGAGACAGAAGTATATGCAGTTTCCTGTGGTTACACAATTTTTTTTCATTGTTATTTGAAGCAACGCAATTAGTAAATCACAAATTTTAGACATATTTTACAGCACAACATATGAGGTAGGTTTAAACTGCCTTTTCAACCAATGAACAAATTCCATCCTCCTTGTGTGACTGTCACGCTCATCACGTGAAAGAAACATTACACTTGTGGTAAGAAAAGTGGCCTCTGAGCCAGAAGCAAAATTACAAACATTTGCTAAGACAGATACACAACAGATAAAAGTATTGTGCCAAGCCGACTGTGGAGTAGATTCCACATCAGGAGGAAACTGCTGAAACACATAGCAGCAATAGAAAACGCACCACAGTCAACAATATGACAAGTGTACGGCCAAAACTCAAGTGAAAGCAGTTAAGTTTTTACACGATCTGCAGAACAAACTACTAAATGAGTGTCGTTTGTGATGGTTACTATGTTAGAAAAAGGCTCCTGAAAGTATGCGAGGTAACAAATGTGCATATCTTAAATCTGTTACACAGTGAATTTTGAATTGAAGCAAACCAAAATTACTACTACAGTATCTGTTAAAAAAAAAACATAAGCATTTTCTTTAAAATCACTAACTCGGTTCATTTTGGAGCGGGTGATTTGCCCCTGGCATCGGCTAAAACCTCTTTGGAGGGTGCCAAAACATTCTCATTAACATGACAACTCTGTAAGAATAAGATCTGTCCGTGCAAAAACAGCCAATTATTAACCACTGTTGTGTCTCGGGTCGCGGTCGCTCCATAATGTTACAAGCCGGCAGACAGCAGAAGCACATGAGACTAAACTGTGTGCCGCTTCGTTCCTGCTAATTACTCCTTACAGTGTGTCTTCGCTAAATTCTATCAGGTTCAAAAATCACTCATCAAAACCACACGAGGGAATAAAACGTCCACTCGCCCTCTGCTAGTGCAAAGGCACACATCGCACGCTGGCACAGTGACTTTGTTTCTCTACAAACCGCTGCTAAGGAATGCTATTACAGTGATAATGGTATCTCTTGTTTCCGCATTATCTCTGAAGGAGGACAAAGTGTGACTTTCAACCTCCCTGGCTGAATCCAGGGAAGAGCAGGGAAAGGATCAAAGTCTTTGGTTATCTGGTAAAACGGTTTCACCTAGGCGACCTGTGAGATTCATTTTTCTCTGTCTGTACTTTAAAGACAGATTTAAAAGATTTAGGGTGACATGTTTAATTGTCCGTATTTTAGAAGAAAAAAAGGTAGATATAATCTTGAATCCACTGCTACAAAGTGTCTATGCTTCACTGGAACACTAAACACACGGCCTTTACACAATTAAATGATGGTTCTCACCACACCCGACACTGATACGACATCTGGGTTACATTAGAACGGGAGCCAGTAAGGGATATGGCAAAGGCGGAAGCAGCAACTACTAATAAAAGACATCACACAGAGTATTTCACCACAGAGGCTGAGCTGAGAATAGCTGTGGACGACAACTCTGAACGGAATAAATCCATTCAGGCAGAGAGCTGCTTACACCAGCTACAATAAGCCCTGCAATACATCACCAGAGCCTTCATCCTTGTTTCTAACTGTCAGTGGAAAACTGATTCCAGTAAAGAGTTCAACTTAATCTCTACTGAGTCATTTATCCCTATCACAGTCGTAGCGTAGCTCCAGGCAGCATTCCAGGCCATATGTTTTGGCCAGAACCTCAAAGAAAATAGAAAGCAATAAAAAGGAAGTAGCGATTTGCTGCAAAACAATTTTAGTCAACCAACTGTCGAAGCCAATTACTCAGTGACTAATGGGTCGTTGCACTTTTTAGCTCTACTCACTCGTTCATCCTGTGATCCTGGATGTGGCGATGGAGGGAGATCTTGTCGCTGACATAGATATTGATGGCATAGCGCTCCACAGTGTCCTGCTCCTGCTTCTTCTCTTCAGGGCTGAGGTTGAGGTGTGTGGCCCGACCCCACTCCCCCGGCGCATTGTTGTCCGGCGCTGGTTTAATGTAGAGGGGCCGAGCCAGCTGCCCATCCATCCCGCTCTCTTCTATAGACACCTGCCTCTCCAAATGATTGCGCTCTTCATCGTCTTCCTCCACAGCGGGAGACGAAGGGTAGGTGGAGCGCTCCAGCAAAAGGTAGCCCAGCCACAGCAACCACAGCAAGAAGCCAGCCTTGGCCAGTACGCCCAGTTTTCGAGAGCAGCGCCCCCTCATGACGAAAACACCAAGGAGGCACCGTCACCGGCTGAGCTTTAGGGTGCCCTTCAGGACACAAGGCTCTGGGGGGAAAAAAAAAATAAAAAAAAAGGAAAAAAAATCATTAGCATTCATCTATCACATGTCAGGAACACAGTGCAGAGAAGGGAACACAGAAGTAGTCGCTTCTGCTTCCTCTGACAGGTGGAAACTTACTCGAGTCTTTACACAAAGCTCTCCCCATTAGGGTTGAGGTCTAATCAAGTAAGAACCCATTCACAATTAAGTGAAGCCATTCATCTAAACACTCACACCAAAGAAAGATCGTGTCTGCCTCTAAATTCACAAGTGGCCCGAGGACACGGTTCCAACAGAATAGACCCGTAATAATCAACACCGACATCGTAAATATAATCACATGCTCAAGGCTGCATTAAGATGCTTATTAAATACAAATTGCAAAGATGAAAGAGGATAAATTATGGCTTAGAGTACGGCAGTGTGCTGAATAAATCGAGTCCATGCTGCACTCCAGCGAGAGACGCGTTAGCCTGATGAACTTCATTATAACGGAGCCGTTTTATGCGACACTTTAATGAAGTTTTAGCCACATTAGGCTGCTGCGATGCTGCACATTTGTTACAGCTTTTCCTAATCACGCTGTGTGGCTTCTAATCAGCCAAATCACAACGTCAATACCTCTCCTCAGGAAACCTCGGGTGAAGCCTCGAGTCTTTTTGTGTGAAGCTCGTACACATGCAGCTAAAAAAGTCGTTCGGAAAACTTTGAAAGAATCACATGTTTGCAGCCTTTGTATCTTACAATCAAGCTACTTTTATCTGTCAAAGAACAACACAATACGCATGCTTGCACAACATCTTTCCATCAGAGCAAACACATGTTTAAAAAAAACAGCGCGATAGTAATCAAACGCTCAGGTCTATGCACGCAAGAACCGGGCCTTTAGAAGGGGGTTCTTCATTTTAGGATTTCTATTCTCCTCCACTGAGCCAGAAATAGAGGTTGCCTAAAAACCTGGGCTGAAATATTTGCACAAGAAGAAATCCCTTTGTTGCTTTTTTGGAAATAGGATTACCGCGGGTTTATAGACACACGAAGATCGCAATTTAGACATTCATGTCTGACAGATCAGCTTAACATGCCAAAATTTAAAAGATTGGGTGGCGGTAAGAACAGACCACTTAACTATGTCAACACTAAACTGGATGTAATCACATAATTGTGTTGCATTAATATTAGAGCAGGGTGCCGTTTACAGTAGTGCCAGCTAATGTCAGACAGGCTTAGTGGTAATAATGATGCGCACACACAGCACAACAGCGTTTCCTCTTCCTCACACAGGAGTCCAGTGATGGGTAATTCCTACTTTGACAGAAAAAAAAAGCTATTTCGGGGAAAGGTTTTGACTTCATGCAGCTCCTCGAGAAACGCTGCAGCACGAGTCAAAGGAAACTGGACTTTCACTGCGAGTCCATCAAGGCAGCAGCACAGCCTTTTCACTCCAGTCTGGGCTCCGGCCAGAAGACTCGGGAGTCCTGAGGTCTCAAAATGGAGACGCCTGCAGACAAAACCCCCTTTTATTGGCCGTCCAACACACCTTCCACTCTCTCTCTGAATCTGATAGCCTTACTGGGGAGCCGTTTGGAAGCGAGCAGGAGGGCACGGAGGGCTAAGATGCAGCTTTAATCCTGCCCCAGTTTTTTTTTTTTTTTTTTGGTTAGGAGAGAATCACACATAAAAAAAAGTAGGCGAGGGATGATATTTGCCTCCCTGTGCTGCAATCTGTGGTGCCTGTTTCAGCACAAAAGTAATGACAAATGAATCTAAGGAGCAATTATGAGTCAATAATTGATGTTACAAGTGATGGAGAGTAGCCAAGTTTGCTTCTGTGTTAGCAATCAAATCAATTAAATGTAATTTTGTCTCAGTACTTTAATAATGATTGCACAAATGTGTGATCATGTACAACTTGCACTATTAGATATTAGGCATTAGATCTGAATGCTTCTTCCACCTCTGAACCAAATTAGGCTTCACGTCTGATTTTATCTTGTGCTTTGCGTCTCCTTTGGTCTCCATGGGTAGGATGGAATGAACAGCATGCAGTGCACACACACAACACACACACACACACACACACAAACACACACGGCTCATTTCCTTTTCAACCAGTCAAGAGAGAAGCACAAATAGCTGCAACTTGGTGTAAAATCCAAGCAGCACCAGAGGAACAGGTTACACAAACTGACACTCAGCGACCGGCCCCCGTTCTTGAGCTTTTAGAAAGACCCACAAGACGGGGATCACTGACTCCTCTCAGCAACACAAACAGCTCTTAGCTGATTACACTCAGCGTATACAACACTGACAGCAAGTGTTTTAAAGGAGCCAGGCTACCATGACTGATGATGGGCTTAATTTAAAAGCTAGATAGAGGGGCTTTTTTCTTTCCCCCCCATCACAATGTCTCTGACACACATACAAATAAACCCAAACAGATGAGAGCTGTGTTTTTAAAACACAGATGATAAATGCTGCTCCTCTCTCTAGAGCTGGATGAACAAAATGTGCCACTTGAAAGCAAAAGTAAACCACTGCTGTCTACGGCCGATCCATTCATCTAACTTTCATCCCTAATTGCTCGTTTTGATGGTGGAAACTCAAAAAAAAGGAGATGAGGAGCCTGTCGGTGACACACAGTTCAGCAACAGGTCTCCACATCTGTCAAACTAGATCAGCGTTAGCATCGCAATTCGTCTGACGGTCGCCGCACAAATGCTGGAAGCTTCAGCTGATGTCTCCCTGAAGGTCGCATTAAGTATGCAGATTAGCGCAGCGGCGACTCGGAAGAACAATGACAAATCTCAACTTTCCAAAGGCGCCTGTTAGCGGCTAAATGGTCACTTGAAGCTAATTTGTTAGCGTCGGCGTCAAACTTCGCTGTTTAAACTTCGCTGGCTTCATGCAAATGAGTCGAGAACACAAATTAAGTTATCGACAACAGAGACTTGTGAACAACACGTCACGTTGGAGGAAAACATTTGCCTGGAGCAAAATAAAAACAAAACAAAAGAAAGAAAGAAGAAACAAAAGACGAGGTTAGCCGGTGTGACTTTACCTGCTCGACAAGTTACATGTCTCGGAGTTTGTTCGAGGTTGCTGAGGCCGTTGTGTGTCAGCCTGACTGCGGTCTCGTCTTCCAGTTAAACCTCTGGCTTGCAGATGTCAGCAGACCCACATCCTCTCCTCCACACTGACCCGCGTCACGTTAGACAGCAGCGCCGCGCAAGTTCCGCTGCAACCTTCAAAATAAGAGACACTGTTCAACTCCCAACTACAACAAATAAACGTACAAATGACAAACATTATGCAATAAACAAGCTTTTTGTGTGTGTTTTTGCACGATAACTGACCTCTCTGATAAATATACGCTGGTATTTGTAAAATGGGACACTTACGGAAAGTTCATTCATTCATTCTTAGCTCCCAATTTAGCAGACGATTATAAATATTACAACAGTATAGAGAAAAAAAAACAGTTATCAAACACAGGGTTAATGATTCCGTTTCAAACACAGTAGGTCCTGACATTTTGTATTAACAGGCACTACTGGCAAAAGGGAACACCTTATATTGTAAGTAATATTAAAATAATAATAATAAAATAAAAGATGAATTGAAGAAGATAAGTAATGTCAACACTTTTGATGTCTTCAAATAACAATACAATGAAAAAACATAATGCTTAGGTGAGACATTAAAAAGTACTTAGCATTTTTTCTATTACTTTGTCTTTTCAATTTAAACAGGACTTTTCAAAGATTATTTTATAAAAATACTGTGGCCACCACATGGGCCTACTTATTCATGCATGTAAAAATATGTATAGATGTATAATTTAAAAAAACAAACAAAAACAAAAACAAAAAACTCTATTATAGATTAGATTGATTAGATTAGAATAAACTTTTTCATCATTACACAGAGTACTATTACAACAAAATGCAACTTAACATTGAACTAGAATAGTGCAAAATAAGTCGTGAAAGTAGTGAAATAGCTTTAATGAAATTGTAAATGTGCCGAATGATATACAGTATTAGCAATGTTAATAGTATAAACGGTGCATTTAAGTATACAAGATATATTAATATAAGTGTGCAAGATATGAAACAATATAAAGATAATTAAATGTAAATGTATGGTAAAACAGCATATCATAGGTTAGCCAGCTAAACCATGGCTATGCTAGCTTGTCTTAGCTACACTCCAGCAAGCTAGCTGACAATATATTTAAGAGAAATTTTTTTTTTTAAACTGTTCTCAAAAGCATATTTTTCATTCAAAAATGATTAAAAGCAGTCTCCAATTTTGACATTATCAGTGTGTCTTATTTTAACAACACATAATATTGAATTCATCCAAGTCACTAGTTTGCTTTACATTATGTTCATTATATTGACATTAACTCAATACTTCCTCTTGCTGCTTCCTCACACTGGCTTCCTCAAACAAAACAGAAAGAAAAACGAACCAGCTTCTCGTCACAGACGGTGGTTTTTGTGTGCCTGTGTTCCGGTGCTGCTCGCATCACTTCCCGTTAACTTGACGCAGCAGCTTTAAAGTTAGCCTGTTAGCTGTTATTTGCCTCGAGCTGTAATTGCTACTCCAAACAATCTCAATTACTTGTTCCACCAGTGAGCCAAATGATGGTGAAACCTAATACTTCACAGTGTAGCAGAACCCGAAAACGTCCATTTGTAAGTTTTTAATAAGTTTTCAAAATGCACAAACTTTATAAATATACACTTGACTTGCATTATAGAAAATGATTATCATTTTATTTTGAAAGCAACAGTCCTCCAAACATCTCACCTTAGAGTCACTGGTAATTGGTATACATCTTTTAATTCATGCAGGCTTCTGAAATCCCCAAAGAGAGCAGCCAGTTTGCAACATTACTGAGCAACTTGAAGAAACTGCCTCACCTGTGGCTCATTTATAAACCCACAACGTGACCTTTAGTCTCTATGTGAAGGCTGATTCTGTTTCTAAGCAGGTGGATTGTCAACAACAGGTAATAATACAAGTGCAAAATGAACACCAAAGTTAATTAGACGGTCTATAAAAAAAGGTTATGTTTTTCACATGTATTAATATTGCAATACAATCTGCAGCTTTTAATTTGGAAGACAGGCTTTCATTTGTAAACAGAAGGCTTGCACAAGTTGAATCCTTTTCATAAAGATCAAAATCAGGAAGAGAGTTTATTCGCATGATTGATGAGTAGATTATGGGATACACGAGGCAAATTAGGCATGAGACATCTCTTTTCTTTTTTAAAAAAACTTCCCCTTGTGTGCAAATAAGATTTTTCTTAAAGATTAGTGTGAATAGATTTTGTAGCTTTATTCAATCTTGTGATCCCAATTTAAACTCTTGAGTCCTGCCTCGACACTCGCCACAATCCTGAGAGGATCTATGAATTCGTCCACTGTGTGAATGGACAATGTGCCACACATGCACAAACAGCCCTTCCCTCTGTGTGTTTGCCATTATAGGCTCGGTTTGTTTTCCCATAGTGGCTAGGTCCTGCTCAGGCCGGACCACGCTTGCCTAGAGTGTGCAATGCGCTAGTGCAGCCTGTTGTTAGGCAGACACCTGCACCGCTTGGTCACTTGCCAATATCTTTTTATTCCTCCCTCTCTTTCCTTTTCCTTGCCGCCTCCTCTTCTTCTCCCCAGTTGAAACCAGTTGACACCTCTCTCTGTGAGGGTGACGTGCCCCCATCCGGAACTGAAAAGGGTCCCGTTTCCCCGATAGGGATCTGGGGCTTTCACAGCTACAAGGAGGGCTCTTGTACAGGTCTTGGGTGTCAACCTTTCCCCCCCATTCAAACTATTATTTAGTTTACAGATGCAGCGTGCCCCGTTTGCTCTCCGTTCCTGAGGCAAAAAAAAGAATTTAATCAGTTTAGGATCTGGTATTCTTTTACTTTCTCCACATGTGGGAGCTGCAGATTTGATTGTGCATTAATCTACTTGTGGGTTGTTGTAGCTTAACCCAATTGCATCGTTTGTCAAAAATCTTTGTCCTACTAAACTGCACCAAAAAAGAGACCTATTTCTTTAGAGGTTTTATTGAAATCCGGAGCAATCCCCGTGTTTTTGTCATTTTTAAATAGGTCCGCTTAGCCTCTTGATTTGTTGGCCATCAGCTGACTAAGCCTGTTGCCGTCCTTTAAGATAATCTGCATTTTGGCTCCGCTCAGCAGCTTGCACGGCTTATGATTGAGATCTCTCTCATTTGACAGATTTGAAGAACATGAGTGAAACGGATTTGAAGAACAGCAACAGTCAGTTTTTTTTTTGACCTGGTGCCACCGGCTGCAGGATCAGATGAAGCAGTTCAAGTAAGGAGCGCCATCTAGTGACTGCACGGAATACATCCAGTGTAATTACGCTTCAGGAGTAATGCCTCGCCGCTTTAATGGAAACAACAATCTTATCCAAGCTGAGAAGAGAAGTGAACAAATACAAAGGGATGGTGGCCTCGTATTGGCTGAGTTAAATCCCTAAGGAGTCAATTTGGGCCCAAAGTCACCAGGAAAATTGTGTTGTGCTCTTTGTCCTAAGTCACCCTTACTCTAACTCCCTTGATACTCTCCCACAATAAAAAATACCAGAGAGAAAGAGAAACATCCTCCCTCTATTTTATAGTAGACAATGGCTCGGGGTGCTGTTATCTATTCGAATGAAGGGTTCATATCCTGAGCTGAAAAAGGCATTGTGACACTGATGCATCACTTTGTGAGATTGTGGTTTCCCACAATGAATGCCAGTTAATTTGAGCATGTCATTTAACCTCTAAAATTAGACGCGCAGAGCTGACAGACATGCTGAGATTATCAACTTAAAAACTGCAAGACTTACACAACAGCGATTCAAAGGATATGTGTGTGTCTGGGCATTTACTTCTCTACAGTTGTATTCAATTACAGCTCCATTCACATCTTAACCAACTTAACTGTTGGGCCAATGATTTCATTAGCTGCATGTCCTTTGTGCTTGATGTTCATTTGCTCTGTTCATGCAATAAATCATAGTGAATGGAGGTCACATTGTGGGACCAGGCTCCTTTAATTTAATGGAGATGGATTCTGGCCCACACTCTCCCTTAGCTTATTAGCTCCCCATAGAGCAGAAGACGCGACGACCTTCAGCCGTAAGGACAAAATGTGGTTATCAATTAGTGATTTTGATGGTGGAGGTCGGTCCTCTTTTATGACCTCAGTTACAATATGAGTGAAAAGCCTATTATTACACAGAGCAGTCAGATCTCGGTCATTGATCCATGTGTGAGAAAATATCCATCAGATATGCATCATGGCCACAGCTCCAGTTCAAAATTTACATTTTATTCCTCGGAGACCTCTGCAAGTCAGCAAGCTCTTTAGATAGTAAATGTATATATATATATATATAGCAGGGACAAAGACAGACAGAGAGAAAGAGAGAGAGAGGCAAAGAATAGATTCCAGACAAACAACCAAGAAAACAGCTCTTTTGAACTTTATGGCTGGAAGGACGTGAAAGATAAGGGCTATTGTAAAGGAAAGAACTTCGCTCTCCTCAGATTCTGTTGTTTTCACCTTTCAAGGAGAGTTGTGCAACACATTTGCAGAGTGTTGAGGTAGGACAGTTGACACTCCCCTTTTGATTGTCTGCCACAGACTGTTGCAGTGTGTGTGTGTGTGTGTGTGTGACAGAGACGGCTCAATCAATCTGAGCTTGTAGTGTTTTGTTTATGAAAGCTTTTACTGTATTTTGCTGAAAAATAAAGGCTACATAAAGCCGTTCAAATTTAACATTTTAATCTCATTTTCTTCACTAAATTTCCTATATTAATCACTGAATAGCATTGGGTAATATTCATTGGGAGTTTAATACTTCAAAACTCTTATTGCTTCATTAAAACTGTGTGAGAAAAACTGCCCTCAGATACTTGAAACAGCCAGAAATCTTTGGTCCTCATTCCTTATAGTAGGACATATAGTAACAGTAACGGCTTGAGGAACATGACAAAGAGCTCAGGGCATTGAGTCCAAACTCCTCAGATTCAAGTCTAATCAATGGAGCCCCCACCCTGAAACCCACAGGATCCAGCCTGATCCAAGAGAACCTGTGGTCAGAGCTGTTTTATACGTACACAGTTTTATGCATGTGGTTTTAATGT